AGGACCTTTTGGTTTTAAATCTCTGGTGATGCAGAGTTTTAAAAGATAAAATTATTATTCCCCTAATTTATTTTTTCAACATGAAGCAACATGTCTTCATTTATCCTGCAGGCTGATGGCCCAACTTTGATAACAAATCCTGTTCAATTGCTGGATATCGTTCTTGGAATTCCTCATACCATGATGTCAGTATTGGGTGGAATCCCAATGGGGCACAATGGAAACAAATTGTTTTATGGTATAATTAAACATGCTTGGTAGCCTTTTCCTTCCTTTAAAAATTCTTTTTTATGCTGTACTAAAAGAAGCGAGCAGCCAATGTTTTAGAAAAAGGGAATTTACTAAGCAAATCCCCAGTTCGAAATATAATATGAAGTTTTTAGAAAGAACAGATTTAGAAAGTTACCAATGTCAATATCACAAGGTCTTCCTCTCTGAAGTGTAAGATACCTTTTGTGGGAGTTTACAAAGAGAGTTACTCTCAAACTTTTAATATATTACTTAGTATGTACACAAGAAAGTGCCTTCCACCTCGTTCCAGTTCAGTAAAGCCCTTAAAAGCACCTGAAAGTCATTGATTGGTTGGAAGAATTTTTGAAAAATATATACACCTGACTATTCCTAGTAGACAAATACAAACAAATCATTAGAGTGATGATATTTCTCAGAAATAACTATGAGACTTCTGTACTTGGTTTGTAAGTCTTTGAATAGTTGCTGAGAAGTAACATTTGACTGTTGGAGAATAGCATATATATTCTTTAAAAGTATTGGCTTTATTATCCTATCTTTCTGAAAAGGGTGAAATCCTGAGGATGGCTGTACCGAGCAGTGCTGAGTTCGGCAATGTTCATAATCAGCCATCACAAAAGCGATTGTGTGCAGAAATAATAGACTTTTGAAAATTGTGCTTGTAAGTATGTTACCGGAAATATGTATTTTGCACAATGTACTTTTAAATATGTATTCATATTTGATCTAGAATTTCATGATTGTATATGTATGTGTGCAGTTGCTCGGAATATAATCACCAGCATTTATTTTTCTATAGTATTATGGGAAAAGTAAATTAGGTGGCTTCAATCTAGGAAAATCCTTCAGTATATCATTAATCAGAATATAGTTAATATTTGGAGGCTGCTTGTGGGGAAATCATGCCAGGCTAACACTCTCCAAGGCATATGCTTTTCTTTAAGTCTGATATCAGCTTCAGAGTTTGAGGGAAATGAGATTTCTTGTGATTATGGTTCATAACACCAGGAATTATTTGTTTGTTTGTATGTCCTCTTTTTAAAGGGTTGGCTCCATGCAGACTCATGGAAGTTAATAGATAACAAGCATATTAAAATAACCAAAATGAATTATAAATAGAAAATTTTTCACAGTTCATGGAGAGCTTGTTAACATTTATTTGAAGAAACTATCTTTCCTCTCACAATTTTAACACCTTATTTTCACAGAACATATATCAGTATTTTTTTTCAATCTTTTTAAAATTGTGTTTTTCCTTAGACAGAATATGAGGCAGATTAAGGTGTCTTTAAATTAGGTTGTTGGTTTGACCTCCAAGCTTGGCAATTGGTTGCAAATGTTTTGTCACCATTTGAGGATACATCCTCAGTATGTTTTGAGTCGACAAGCTCAGCACTCAAATCAACAGCCCAATTATCAATCCAAGCTACTAATATTCAAACACATTTCAATGTCTTTAAATACCTGGTTTCAAGTATCCAACATAGGTGTCATTTGATTGGACAAACGGAGAGAAAGGAAGTTATAGCTGAGTAGATTTTTAGGTTTTTAATTGCCTTAGCTAAATTGCAATGATCCTACCTTTGCTTACAGAGTATGGAAAGCAAGAGTTGAAGAGAGCTATTGTATTTCCTTTTTCTATCTTTACTTTTAAACCTGAACTACAGGGAGTCCTCAACTTACAACAGTTCATTTAGTGACTGTTCAAAGTTAACAACAGCACTGAAAAACGTTACTCATTACCTTTTTCACGCTTAGGACTGTTGCAACATTCCCATAGTCACATGAACAAAATTCAGATGCTTGGCAACTATGATGGTTGCAGTGTCTTGAAATCACATGATTCCCTTTTGTGATCTTTTGATAAGCAAAGTCAATGGGGAAGCCAGATTCACTTAACAACCATGTTATTAACTTAAATGCAATTATTATTTAACAACGGTAGCAAGAAAAGCCATAGAATGGGGCAGAACTCACTTAACAAGGGTTTGACTTAGCAACATAAATTTTGGGCTCAGTCATGGTTGCAACTCGAGGACTACCTGCAGGGGTGGGATCTGACAGGTTTAACTACCAGTTCGGTGATTTACAATGTGCTTTACTGCACGTTGCGCAAGCGTGTAAATCTTCGTCAGCTTGCTGCCTGGACAGCTGAGCAGCTCTGCGGGCAGCAGCATTTGAAAAAAACATTTTTTTTCTGCTTTTTCAACTGCAGCTGTGCCTCGAATGGCAGCTGAGGTTGAAAAAGCAGGAAATAAAGGTCAGGTAAGAGCCTAGGTAGGCAGGTGGGCCAAAACAGCAGCAGACATAGAACCGGTTCTATGTTTGCTGCTCTTCAGAGCTACCGGTTCCACAGAGACAGACAGAACCAGTAGAATCCCACCCCTGACTACTTGTACTGAAATGCTGATGCCTAGGAATTTCTCATCCCCTCCAAAAACAGAAGAAATTCAGCCATTTCAAACCATGTAAATCCCAGCTGTACCACAAGCCTGGGAACAGTCTGCACAAGGTTTTTTGGGTAATGAAGTTATCTAAAAGAACCATTTTCGATTTCATTTATTGAAAAGATGATATGGTTTTATAGATCTATCATACATTTTGTCATCAGTTCCTTCCTCAAACGTCAGTGGGATATATTACAACATAAGCGTTTCTTTATTTCCATGCAAATATCATTGCTAGCTTTGATGTATGTATGTATGTATGTATGTATGTGTATACATATGTGCATATATATATAATTTTCCTTTAAGAACGAGAGGAGTTTGCATTCTGAATCAGTAATTGAAACTAGTACATCTGACCAAAATCATAGTCTGCCAGTTATTTACTGAAATTAGTAGCTCAGTCCCAGATCATATTTTCTGAGTTCATCTTTTCCAGCTACTGTTTATGTGTACATTTCATAATATTTTGCAAACAGCTGGGTGAGTGCCTAATAATTCCCTAGGGCTGCCTTGTGAAAAATGAATAAATATTCATTTTTCTCTCTCCTTGTATTTGTATTAAATGCAAAGCATATAATATGAAAGTTACAACAGCATGTGTAGTTGCATTACTTTCTGGGCTACACTCATGTTCAGGGAACAGAAAAATTGCATCTAGTTTTGAACATAGTAATCTTGCCTTTGTACTTGGTAGAAGAGGATGGCAGGCTATTTAAAAATGGAGCGATATGATCATTTGTTGGTTAAAATTTTGGAAATTAGAGCCAGCAGGCCCTTTTGGGATACAGCTCTTATCCTATATTACATTCTGCCATTTGAACCTGAATTTAGAAATCTGTATATTGAGAAGGTTGATGAAAGGGCAGATCCCTCTGTCAAGGACACCTATGAAAGGAGACTTGCTCACAGGTGCACTTTGAGGGCATCCCTGGGGAACACAAATGAATTCCTCTTTGAAGCAGTTCAAAGTTTGCTTCATTTGATACTTTCTGGTTTCTCAATCGTGCTTATCCAGTTCCCAAGGGTACCTTCACCTTGCTCCATGAGATATTTCCCAATCCTATTTTCTGGTTATAGAATATCATAACTTTAATACATAGGTATTCATGCACCAAACACCCTTAGCAATTATGCATAATTACCCATAAATATTTCTTTTAGTAGTATATTGTGGGAAGCTTATCTGAAATATTGGTAAAATTGGGACAAAGGAAATGTTCTCCATAATTTCTCAAATAATTCAATAACCAATAGTGACATGGTAGATTTTTGTTATGGAATGCAAGTAAAGAGTTAACCAAATACTTTTTTTATAAGGGAGACAATGCAGAAAACAAAAACAAAAAATACTTGTATTGAGTAAATAGTAGGAAAAGAAAGGAAATTGACAATTGGTATACTTAAAAAGAGAAAAATACAGGAGGCCTTTGTGAAAAAAATTAAGTATAATTCTAAAAAATAAATTAAGGTTATTTGATGTACATTTTAATAGAAGCCATTTATATGTTATAGTAATTTTTCATACAGTGCTGACTTTAAATGAAATATTAAAAGGTTGCCAATGATTGATCATCTTCTAAATAATAAAAGACGTAATATATTGCTGTATACTTAAGATACAAAAGACACAACTATATCAACATACAGTGATAAAAAAGCAGCTAACTTTACGAGAACTCCAAGTTGGGAGATAGGGTGGCAATGAGGATTTTAAACTATGCTCCCACCCTCCAAAAACAGAAGAAATTCAGCCACTTCAAACCATGTAACTCCCAGCTGTACCACAAGCCTGTGAACAAGTTCCAGGATTGCTGCTGATAATAATAATGAAGATGAATTGAAACTTTGATCCCCATTATTGGTGAGCAGAATGATTGCCTTCAACACAAAATTATGGTAACACAAAATGCAGTACATCTGTGTTCAAAGTTTAGAAGCTCTTATTTAATAATTAAAATAAGAACTAATTGAATATTAAAATGACTTCTGGATTGCTATTTTCAAATCCAGAATTATTTTCTTCATTGTTCCCTAAATTGCGGCTTCTTCTCTTGTTCCTTCCAAGTTTTATAGTAGCATTTCTTTAAAAGCAACCTTATTTTTTTTCAGAATATGTCTAAAAAGAAATGTGAAAAATTGCCTGAGATGTTTGCTTAGGATTTTCCTTGGTTATGTTGGAAGATTTTGAAAACAGCCTAAACCAACTAGATTAATATTTTCTTAAAACTTTGCTTTCTTGGTATATTGGTAACTGCTTATTTGAGTTATCTTTATGGGGATTCTTTTGTCTCTCTGCAGCTGGGATGACAGCAGTTCTGTCAGCAGTGGGATCAGCGATACCATAGATAACCTCAGCACTGATGACATTAATACCAGCTCCTCCATCAGCTCTTATGCCAATACTCCTGCATCCTCACGGAAGAACCTAGAATCCCAGGTAAGGTTTTCTTAAATTTCAGGTAAATAATAATAATGCTGAAGGCACTCACTACTCCAAGAACTAAGTGTGTTTATTTTCTCATTTGTAACTAATGAGAATAAATAATTGAAAAATGTCAGGGTTGACTTCTAAATACATTTATTAATTAAGCATAGCAACAATAGTTAGAAAATTCTGATGCTTGCTTTGAGGGATGGTTTACTCAGAGAGATGGGACCAAATTAGAATTAGTATGGATTAGAATAATCCATGCTAATGTTCCTACTTAATATTGTACAGTATCTATGTGCTTATATGGCCAATTGTGTGATACATGACTGAAAGAGGTGACAAGGGGTTGAGATTAAGAGAGAAACTACTGAATGTCTTAGTTTTGTTAACTTGTTTTTACTATCACTGGCTCCCTTCATGCGCAGAATGAAGAGTTGTGTCCAATACTATCCATCCGTCACCAGAAAGAATTGGATTGTTTTAGACAGCCTCCTTTGGATTCTCAAATCTTTAGAAAAAAAAAATTAGAGACACTTCAGAGCAGATTTTGAGAATATTTAGCACTACTTGTACATCTGAAGTCCAACAATATGAGGTTAAATGCTTTAATAAATACACAATCCTACTTACACAGACATTTCATGTTTTAGAATTGGCCATACTGTTTTTAGATACATTAATTAATGAATAGAAATGTAGTTTTGGTCACCCAAAGCTCAAGTGTTATCTACATTCTTAGAGGAAACGTGAACACTTGCTATTTAATTAAGTATATTCTGATTTTCTAGACCTGCATGTCGCTACAAGCTAAAAGCAACTTTTGGCAGCTTTTCACAAGTAAATTATATTCTAAGGTTACTTTCTTGTTCATAAAATTTTCATTCAACAGACAACTTATAAAGAATCCTGAATCAGTTAGACGTTTTTAACTACGGTATTAAAAAAATAAATTGGGATCATATGTATTATGTTTTTGTTGCTTTATATATTACACATATAATTCTTGTTATGCACACGCCACGCACAAACACATGATCTATTGGTGGGGGAGATCTTCCAAACAAGTGTGAAATTGTCTATTTGTTCAAACTTACTACTGTATAACTATTTTGTTGTTATTCATTCCTTTCCACACACTAAAAATTACTTTAATAACAGTTCTTGATTTATCATAGAGTTGTCAGAAAGTATTAAATTGCTTTTGTTCACCAGTGTAGGAATTGTGTTACTCTTTGTTCACTTGAGCACATAGCCATGGTTGTATGGAAGAGTTTTGCCTCTGTTTGTAAACTGGGGGTTTTGTTGCTTGAGTTTAAAACTGCTAACACTAAATTCTAAACTTGATGTTCTGTGCCCTGCTTTGAAGCACCCCTCAAAATATATATATTGAAAAATGTTAGAGGCACAGCTTGCATTTTTCCTCCCATAACTATTATTTATAGAAAATTAAAACAATTTTCCCAGAATTCTCAGCACACCTTTCTTAGCAAATGGAACCAACCCATAAAAAAGTTTCCGCATTGTTCTGATTATCATACCAGTCCAGATGATGAATATGATTTATTGGAAAAATGGCTGCATCTTGATCATTTCTGAGCCTCACTCTGGCAGGAGAAATTGTAGGAGGCCCCTGTTAGTCTCTAGTGGCAAAAAATCAGGAGGAGTCTGGCAGCACCTTTTAGAGTACATGTTTTATTAAAAGCTTGTGCCTTTTAATAAAAATTGTTAGCCAAAAAAGGGCTGCCAGACTTTATTTATTTTGACGCACATTTCTCCTGTTTCCCTTTTCTACTCTGTACTTTCCATTTATACACTTTTTGCAAGTATTTTGTCTGTAAATGATGATCCATTTTTCTTCACTATTTCTCTGTGTCATCATATTTTTGTGTGCATTTTTTTTGAGGATCGCATCTCAAAATTCAGAAAAGTACACCAGCTCTGTGAATTCACAGGCTAGTTTAAAAAGTACAAATTAGATAAATTCACGTCAAAATGTGAATCCCATGAATTTCACCTCCATCCAGGTAGTTTTTACATTATAAATAAAAAACAATGTGATGGACTAGGAATAAATAGGAAATCTCTGGGGTTTTTTATTTGTGTGTGTGCCTTAACTATGAACTAAGTCCATGATGGCGAACCTTGCCACGCATGCCAGAAGTGGTATACGGAGCCATCTCTCTGGGCACGCCAGCCATCACCCGTTGATCTTCCGGGTTCCGGCATGTGCATGTGCATCAGCCAGCTGGTCTTCACATGCATGGGAGTGCCAGAAACGGCAGGAGCAGCCCCCTGGGGTGCATACGCACACTGGCCAGCTAGTCTTCATGCACGCATGCGCATTAGAAACCAGATGATCAGGTGGCCAGCGTGCATGTGCATGTGCGTGCCGGGAAGCTGAGCTTCCAGTTTCTGGTACTCCCACACGTCATGTCAGGGAGCTGCTCTTCCTGTTTCTGGTGCGCTTGCGTGCACTCCTGTTTTGGCACTTGGTGTCGAAAAGTTTAGCAACCAGTGAACTAAGTCATCTCACTTTTTGAGAGAATTCAAAAGCTGGAACAAATACATTTAGCAGACTTTGTGTGCTAAATTAGAAGAATCACTTGCTAATACCATGACAAAAATTAAGTCTATGTGTCTATAATTCAAATATTAAATGATTACAAGATTATTAAACTATGCCTGTTAAATTACAGTCTATAGCAACAAGTTTCTTTCAGTTGTTCTGTTTCTTTTATTGTTTAACTAAGATAATGGGGTATACTACTTTTAAAATGTGCCTTATGGAGTTTGGGGAGAAAAAAAAGAATCCCATGTGAAATAGATAGGCGTTGCATATGTATAACAGAGTGCTTGCTGTCCTTAATACAGAATAATCTGTGTCTATGAATAAAATGTATGTTGAGACTTTTTATACTGGATAGAATCCAATTCTATTGCTCCATGAATGGAAGGAGCTGCTCTTTGTAGAACAAGAGCTTCATTCATCAAAGGAACCCTCTGTGAGCTTGCTTTCACAGTGTGATTGCATTAGATGCTGACCATTCTGAATTTTCTGCCAAAATATCATTCACATTCTGCATTTAAACCTCCGCCCCCCAATTAAAACTGAAACTAATTGCTACATCTATGATAGAACTGACCATGTTTATTCCGTTTGCTTAGTTTGTATAGTTGTATGGTTTAGGATGAATGGACAGATTGCCTCCAGTACTTTCATTCCATTTGCAGAAAGGGCCCACATTCTTGGAAAAGTTGTCCCATGAATGCTTTCTTCAACAGAATTTTAATCCATGGGTGAAAACATTTAGATATAATTCCTGTCTGGAACGGCTGGGGAAGAGACAGAAGGAGTTTTCCAGACTGTTTTGTGCTGCTTAGTGACATCTCAGATTACATCTTCAAAAGGTGCTTTGAACCAAAAGGTGCCTTGAGGTGGACAGGGAAGAGGTTAGGGTTAGGGTTCACCTGCTGCTTTAAAGTATTACCAACTAGTGTTGCATTTGTTGTGCTCTCACACCTTCTAAAGCATTTTTGGGTAATAGAGACCAAGACTTTGCAGGGTCTGGGACAACTCACCACAGCTAACTCACCATGGTCAACTTGCCACAGCCAACTCACCACGGCCACAGGACATTTCACTGTAGGACAAGATTCCCACTAATATCGAAGAAATAGTGGAATAGTGCCAAAGAAAGAGTGCCAAAGGAGGGACAAAATGACATATGAATTAAAAAAAATTCTTTAAACTATATTTTAAAATTAAATTGGATTGTTGAATTTTTTGACAATTTGTCCTGTGACAAATTGGCCTTGGTGAGTTGACCATGGCAAATTGTCCCATTCTGGACCTTGCATATAGCCATCATTGTTTTGGAATCTGAGAGTCGCCTTGCAGTTAGATGAGTGACAAACCAATAAAAATAAATAATTTCAGCAATTTATTTAATGCATTCATATCCAATCTTTCTTCTATCAAGGACTTCAGGAGTATACACACTGTATTCCAAACATCTACCAATGAAGCATTGATCAAGTAAATCTTAAGTTTTAATTTAGTAAAATTGACAGCTGTACTATGTGCTTCCAGTTGTGATTTCCATTGCATCCTTCGTTGCTGATTTTGATTTTGGAGTACCCGTTTCTTGGAGGCAAATCAGATGTTGCACGCTGATTAATTTTCAAATAGCTTTTATAAACTGGAAAAGCCACTTTTGGGATGAGTAATTGGAAATGGAGAAGCATGGGCATTTCTGAACCTGTAGCTTCCCTGCTTCAGATCAGCCATCCAGTGTTTTTTTTCCCTTAGAAGGACTGCCTATTTTAATTCCCTAGATCCAGACATACTAATTTACATATTAGTAGACAGATTGGCTGCTAATTACCTTTATTTTATATGAACAATATGATTGTTTTTCATTTTTTTAAATTCAAGGCTTTTGCAGACAAGTAAAGTTAAAGTTTCCGTTTCAACTTTTAAAATAGGCTAATAATTGTGCATTGTTCTCCACTGAAAATTTTTATCTAGCAATCTTAGAGCACTTCAGTTGCCCTGTATGGCATGGAATGCACTGTGTGGCACTGGATGCTGGGCAGCAACAACGGGGACCAAAAGCTATCTCTATGCCATGGAAATGCGAATGCTCCATTGGATACTGGGCATCTCCCTTCTTGACCACATCACAAATGACACCATTCAAGAACATTTTGGTGTGGCACCAATTATAGAGAAGATGAGAAGGCCGGCTCCGCTGTATGGACATGTCCTGAGAGTAGCACCTTCCACCTTTGCCAAGACTGCCTACCAAGTAGAAATCAATGGCCACAGACCTTGCAGGCGCCCAAAACAGAGATGGCAAGACACCATCAATAAAGATATGCATGCCGTGGGCCTGTGCCCTGTAGACACAGCTGACCATGAAAAGTGGTGTTCAATGATCCGAAAAGCAGACTCTGCACTTGTGTGAATATGCTAGCAAGAAGTCTTAGAGCACTTCAGTCCCACTGTTGCCTTGCATTTTTAAGAGAAGATGATGTTGCATTGTAAGCAGCCTGTCAGTAATCTGCAGTAAGGGTGCAATTATAGAATCCTGGTAGGATATATTTTTAATATAATCTTTCCTTTCCCACTCTCATACAATTTTGAAGTGGGATTAGCAACACAGGATGATACTATAGGATTAGTAGTTTGCTATTCTTTTAGTCTCACTCTGATCTCTCTATGTGAAGTATAATATAGGATAACAGGGTGAGATATTTATAAAGTACACTTTCACCCTCAGCTTTCCTTTATAATAAGCTACGCTTGACAATTGCTTTATATCAAGCTTCTAAGCCTCTAAACTGCAAAATGGCATCTCCTACCATGGTTGAGGGGACTCTCCCCTTTCTTTCCCCCCATTGGATTAGAACCAGACATGGTTTTGATGGGAGGGATGGGAATGTGTTGATTTCTCATCTGGGTGAGAGTCAGAGTGGGAGTTGATTATAATAAGTGGTAAAGAGAACCCTGCTTGTGGGTAAGAACAGCAGGAGAGGGTTGGAAGGTGGTTGCTGGGAACTCCATTGATACTGGGAGCTAGTAAACTAAAATGCCTCAGTGTGCCTCAGGACTGGCTGAGAATATTGATGGTTCCTGGGTCAGGGAATGGAGGGCTGAGGAAGTGGCTATTGTTTGGGGGTCGAAGATGGACCATTATTAAGTATTATGGTGGTGACAGGCATGGAGAAATTTGGTGGGAGACAAGAAATGGGATGCTCTTGAGAACCATGGAATTATTGTCTTATAATATAGGTAGTCCTTAACCTATAACCATAATAGACTCTGTTCAATTTTCATCCAATATCTCACCTCCCTTTATGGGGGGAAGGTGGTAGACAAAGTGGTGGTGTGACAGCTTAAGAGGGCCTTGGAGAAAATGGAGTATCTGCATCCTTTTCAGTCAGGATTCAGACCCTTCTTTATCTCTCTATGGCTTTCAGTACCATAGGACAATCCATCATTGTGGATTGGCTCAGAAGACTTGGGGTGGACAGCACAGTTTATTCTGGTTCACATCTTTCCTTCAGGTTGGTTTCACTTAGCAATCATTGGGGAGAAGACATCCATCCCTTGGCCCCTTCTAAATAGGGTCCACAGGTTTGGTGCTTTAGATTGGTTCTAGGAGGCCTTCAGGACTTGGTTATGTGACCAGGCCTAGGACGCCCAAGGAATTGGAGACTCTTATGGATAGATAGCTTCATTGTTGAGGGAACCATTTTTATTCTCTCTTCACTTTGATTATATTTTAGGTTTTAGGATATTTATTGTTACATGTTTTATATATTTGTATTCACTTTTTTTATATGCTGTTCTGTGTCACCCAGAGTCACCTTCAGGGAGATAGATGGCTACATACATTTGATTAATAAATAAATATGAGAATAATGGTTTCCATATTTTCCTATGACAAAATATTTTTAAAAGTTCTAATCACTTAGCAATTCTTGACTTGCAACTGGGAATCCAGTCGTGCAGTCATGGATAGATATTAACTGAGATTTCTTGTTTTCTATGAGCAATGCTCATATAAGTTCTGTCTCAGGAAAACTTGTGGAGGAGAAAACAGGAGTGTGGCTCTGGCATTTTTTCTGGAAATCACTGCTTCTCTTGACATTCTTACCACTGAGTTCTCTCTTTAGCTACCATAGAAGGAGGCCTGGGCAAAATGTCATTTCAAAATGTTGGCTGTTATCTTTGATTTAACTAAGGCTAGAGATATAGGCCAATTAAAGGACTAAGTAGTTACTAGGCATGGAGAGAATCCAGACAAAACATAGGAAATCCTAATTCTAGATGCTTCCCTGGAAATGTGTAAAAAAAACCCATACATGTCCCTTCCAATTCTGCTTTGAATATTAGAACTAATTGACCCAAAGTGGTATATCGGTATTTATTTATTTATTGATTGATTGATTGATTTTGTCAATTGCTTACAAGATAATAGGTATAAGTAAAAACATAGTTATGAATACATGGATACATATAAGAAAAATAAAAAATAAAAGAAACAATAGGACAGGGATGGTAGGCACCTTGGTGTGCTTATGCACGCCCCCTACAGACCTCTTAGGAAAGGGGTGAGGTCAATAGTAGACAGTCTAAGGTTAAAGTTTTTGGGGTTTGGGGAAGAAACTACAGAGTCAGGTAGAGTATTCCAGACATTGACCACTCTGTTGCTGAAGTCGTATTTCCTGCAATCAAGTTTGGTGTGATTAACCTTGAGTTTGTATCTATTTGCTCTTATGTTGTTATGGTTGAAGCTGAAGTATTCATTGACAGGTAGGACATTGCAGTGTATGTTTTTATAAACTGTACTTAGATCGGACCGAAGGCAGCGTAGTTCTAGGTTGTCTAGGTCTAGAATTTCGAGTCTGGTGGCATAAGGTATTCTGCAACAAGTAGAGGAGTGGAGAACTTTGGGTCATTTGAGATGAGCACTCCAAAATCCTTGACAGAGTTTGGATCATCAACAAAGTCTTGACTATTCAGCCTGTATTTTATTTTCTGATTATTATTATTTTTGCCAATATGTAGGACAGAGTATTTATTTGTTGAGTTTTGAAGTTGCCATTTGTTTGACCATTCTGATACATAGTCGAGGTCCTTTTGAAGGGTAGCAGTATTGTCTGTGGTGTTGAATAGCTTTACATCATCAGCGAAGAGAACGCAGTTGCTCTTGATATGATCACAGAGGTCATTTATGTAGAGTATGAAAAGAGTTGGTCCTAGAACACTGCCTTGGGGGACACCACTGTTGACAGGTACAGAATTTGATAGGATGCTCCCAATTTTGACCATTTGTTGTCTGTTTGACAGGAATGCTTCTGTCCAGTTATGCAGTTGTCCAGAGATACCGTAAGATTTTAGTTTTAGGAGTAGTTTGTCGTGTACCACTGAATCAAAGGCTTTACAGAAGTCTATGTAGATTGCGTCTATTGCTTTGCCCTGATCGAGTTGTGTAGTCCATATGTTTTTTCAGTGCAAGAGTTGCAGATTACAGGATAGTTTTTTCCTGAAACCAAATTGTTTATTGGAGAGTAGGTTGTTTGTTTCTAAGTGGAGGATGATGGATTGGTTAATAATTGATTCCATATGTTTTTGACAATGGCACAGGCTTGGAGAAAACTGTAATCTATTTGTCCTCCTTAAAAAAAAAAGGCATTGCTTTCCCTACTAAGAATTACAGAAAATGCCCCATTCACATTGATAGTTTATAAATGAACTATAAAATTTGAAGACTCTATCAGCACAATCCTGGATTTAAAATTGGTGGAGCATTTACCATTCGAAAAATTAAAGCATGTCACCTTTCATTTCTGTCTTTGTGTTTGGTGCCTGATTTATTCAGTATTTTGCACTTTGAAACCAGTGAATTTTATAAATGATTAAATCCACATATGTTCAAAAGTTGTATTTATTTGTATTAAAAAGGACGCAGAACCAGACCAGAAGAAAAAAAATGCACAGGATGGATCTCTCACTATCTTTTTGGGAGTCAAGTTCCCATATGTGTAGCATGTTCAGAGTTTTTCAATCAATTTTGGCACTGGTCTCCATGTCAGTGATTTGAATTGCAAATGGTTTCAGATAGTTCATAAAGGCACTACAAGTGGAACAAAGAGTGTGAATGCAGAATACAGCCCAGCTCATTGTCTCTTGTGTAAGCATCATGAGAAAGGAGAAAATAGAATACTACCATATTTGAAGGGCCCTAATCACTCACATAAATTCAAAGTGATAAGTTTTAATTATGAATAAATAAGTAATCGTGGCGATGAAATTCAGCGAGATGGGAGTAAGTGAATCATCATCACTTCTAAACATTTCTCACCTCAGTTGATGATGAAGTTTGCATAAGGCTGAGACAGAGAGCCCCGTTTATCTTTAGTGTTACAAAAAGCTGCCTCTTCATGTTCCACAGATCAAATTGCCAGCAAAGAGATAGGGAAGGCAGAACAAAGGAAAAGCTCACAACACATATTTGAAGTGAATGAATTTGTGCTTTGCAATGAAAGGTATTGTGCAAAATAATAGAGGCAAGGAAGCTGCACAATGTCAAGACAGATCTTTTCATATATATTTTTCTTTAATCTTGTTTTACGTAATGTTGAACGGTTTGTATTTTGTTTGCTTTTTATATTTAAGCATATTAGAAATGTAAAATAGATTCCTTAATTTTCTGTTTGTAGCTCTGTATCTTATTCTTTTTTTTAAAGAAAATTAAAAACTAGAACTCTTTTATCTATAGGTATCACCAAAAGGTTGAAATATTATCAATCCTTCTTCCTGGGAGGAAGAAAAGTTTGCAGTGTGAGTTGATTCATTTCTGTTTTTTCAACAGACTGACACTGAAAAGCATTTCCAAGTGGAGCGGAATTCCTTGTGGCCTGGTGATGAAATAAAAAAATCAGATGGAGGCTCAGACAGTGGTGTAAAAATGGAGTCTGGATCTAAATGGAGAAGGAATCCCTCTGATGTGTCTGATGAATCCGATAAAAGCACTTCTGGAAGGAAGAACATCGTCATTTCACAGACAGGATCCTGGAGACGGGGCATGTCAGCTCAAGTTGGTATTACCACACCGAGGATGAAAACGGCAGCCACTTCAGGAACTTTGAAGGCACCTGGAACAGGTGAGGAATGCACGGCCAAAAGCCATGTAGTGCAGGCCAAGAATGTATGCTGTTAGTATTTTTTTTTTTAAAAAAAAAAATTCCTCTGCCAGGATTTTAACAGCATTTTGATCTGTGCTTCTCTTTGATGGTGAATATAGCAATAAATCTTCTTTGCTGATTGTCTTTGTCAAATTAAAGGGATACTGATAACTGAGATTTGATAAGGAAAGGGCATTTGCTTGCATGAATGATAGTGTTAATCAAGAGAGCTTTCAATTTATATAAATTTAAAAGATATCTACAAAACATTTAATAAGAGGTAGTTTCGTGATTGGTTTTCAATCTCTCCTTAATTTGGAAATCTGTCTAAGGCTGTGTATTTTCAACAAAAGATTTTTGTTATACCACAGTTTACCCGAAGGTTTTGTGGAGGAGAGAGACTTTTTTTTAGTTCCTTTTATTCTCATTTCTAATTGTACATAATTAAGTAACAATATCCCCCATACTCAACGCTCAACACGCTAAATCTTTACACTATAATCTGCTAGTCATCATAGCAGTTCAATGGAAGTAAGGAGGATAATATAGGTAGTCGTCGTGTTATGATGGCAACTGGGACCAGAATTTCCAGTGCTGAGTGAGGGTGATGTCATGTGACTGCATCACTTAATGACATCAGTCCCAGCCAACCTGGTTGCTGTCATAACCCCAGGACTGCATAGGTTGTTAGATTGGAAGAAGCAGGAGTCCCCAACCAGCAGTCTACTGGGGCAAGAGAGTATTGTAGTCAGGAGTTACAGGGTGCAGGGTGTGAGGGTGCCATGGGCAGGTGTGAATTTTAAGTGGCATGCTGGAAGCAACAGACTAAAATTTTAATTTTTAAATTAAATCTTCTTAAAACTTTCTTTAATTCAGACATAAAATTTCCTCAGCCCACCTGGCTACTGTATGAACTCAAGAGTAAGAACTGTCAACTAGTGAAACGGATTGCCCCCTCAAATGGCACATTCACTTTTACTGGAGTTTTTCAATCTTTTAGCCACCTGAACACTTTTGTATCACTCCTGAGTCATCTTTCCTCATTCGGTTTCAATGCTAGTTACATAAATATTTTGTTCTGTTACATGAAAAACTACTGATATTGCCTAGAACAAGCATATTCAACCATCTTTGGGTAGTGATATCTCAAATGCTAGTTCTAACAATTACTACCAACCTGCCTTCAGTTGAGGACCCATATACTGCGCGAGTCAAAAAGAGGGCTGTGAAAATATTTACAGACCCCTCACATCCCGGACATAAACTATTTCAACTCCTATCCTCAAAACGACGCTATAGAGCACTGCATACCAGAACAACTAGACACAAAGACAGTTTTGCCCAAACACCACTCTGCTAAACAAATAATTCCCTCAACACTGTCCAACTATTTACAAAGTCTGCACTACTATTACTATTATTACTATTAATCTTCTCATCACTCCTTATTACCCATCCCCTCCCACTTGTGACTGTATGACTGTAACTTTGTCGCTTGTATCCTTACAACTTATATTGACTGTTTCCTAGTATGATTTGATTGCTTATTATACCCTATGACTATTATTAAGTATTGTACCTTATGATTCTTGACTCTTGACGAATGTATCGTATTCTTTTATGTACACTGAGAGCATTTGCACCAAGACAAATTCCTTGTGTGTCACACTTGGCCAATAAAGAATTTTATTCTACCTAATAATGCAGTTTTTCATGCAACAGAACAAAACAGTTATAATGGGTAACTTTACATTTTTAGATTTAAATAGTATATTAAGTATTTTCTCCTGGCCCTCAGATATATTAATAATTTACATATAACTTTTAACATATTGAAATGTTTATGCATAATATTTGAAGCCGTTCAATATTTAAAACTGTTTCCTTTTTCCTTTTTTTTTTTTTAGGGAAAACCGATGATGCCAAGGTTTCAGAAAAGGGCAGAATTTCTCCCAAATCTGGAAACATTAAACGTTCCCCTTCAGATGCTGGACGAAGCAGTGGAGATGAATCAAAAAAGCCTTCCACAAATAACTGTAGAACGGCTACGACTAATACAAACACGTTTGGATTTAAAAAGCAGAGTGGGTCAACTGTAGGTGTGACCATGATTACAGCTAGTGGAGCAACTATTACTAGTAGAGCTGCTACTCTAGGCAAAATACCCAAGTCATCTGGACTCATGGGTAGATCCACTGGCCGGAAGACTAGTGTTGATGGTTCACAACATCAGGATGATGGCTATTTAGCCATTTCTACCAGAACCAATCTTCAGTATCGGAGTCTACCCCGCCCCAGCAAATCCAGTAGCAGAAGTGGAGCTGGCAACAGATCTAGCACAAGCAGCATAGACTCCAACATAAGCAGCAAGTCTGCAGGCTTGCCTGTTCCTAAAATAAGAGAACCAACAAAAGTTGCCCTTGGGAGCTCTCTACCAGGCTTAATAAACCAGACTGATAAAGAGAAAGGGATCTCCTCAGATAATGAAAGTGTGGTCTCTTGTAACTCTGTTAAAGCAAACCCATCACCTCAGACAACGTCCAGTGCTTCCCAGAATACTCACCAGCAAGGAGTAAAGTACCCAGATGTGGCCTCTCCTACATTGCGCAGGTAATTATAGCTTTTTCATATGAATTTGTTTATTTCAAAGATGTGAAGTTATCCTTGATGTTTTTAGGTCTACAATAGAAATCCTTTTATCAATAAAAACCTGTAGTTGCACTATTATACAAAATATTGTTTTCCTCTTGACATCCTCCAAATATATTGGATTTCTAATTCTGGTAATTTCCAGGTTGCATGATTGATAGGATTTGTAAGAGGAAGTGAAGAACATCAGATTATTCTATGTCAAGGCTGTCAAACTCCTGGCTCACGCCCGGTTTAGTGAAGGGGGGGAAAGTCCCGATACGTCACGTGACACTTTTGTGACACCTTGAGTTTGACACCCCTGTTCTAGGTCATCTGTTCCAAAAATGATTGGTTAGGAACATAATGGGAGGGCAAAGATCTATTTTTACATATTTTCTCACTCCTACTATAAGTGTAATGGAGCCATTAAGGAATGTTACTGAAATCTAATATCAGCCATGAGTTTCCTGGTGAGAATTGTATGTGCTCATTGGTAGGTAAATACATTGCCTTCTCTTAAAGGGCAATTATAGCTCCTCCAGCACAATATAGGATATATAATAAACATTACAAATATTGTAGGCACATTCTGTAAAATACATATAGGTAGTCCATGCTTAACAATGGTAAATGGGACTGACAACTCCATTACTAAGTGATATAGATATAAAGTATAACATCACTTGATCGTGCTACCTAGCAATTGCCATTCCAGCGTTTTCTGTTGCTATCATTAAAGAAATCCTACATGGTCATTAAAGACAACCTCACATGGACGCCATTTGTGACCTCCTGTCAGCTTTCCCATTGACTTTGTCGGAAGCTGGCAATGTAGGCTGCAAATGGCAATCAGATGACTGTGAGATACTGCAACATCATAATTGCAAGCTGGACAGCAAGTGCAAATATAAGTCCTGCTCATTAGTCCCTCTCCTTCGTTGCTGTCATAATTTTGAACAGTTGCTAAACAGATAGTCCTGAAGCAGGGACTTACTTGTACCACTGATACGTGAATAGATGAGCATTTGTCTCTTGCTCTTAGCAAAAGGAAAAGAAAATTTAGCTAATATGGGATAAAAATCTTGTAGCACCTTTTGATTGTTTCTGCTTGTACTGACAGCTAAAATGTGAAGAATGCAAATGCAAGAAAAGTGAAAATGTCACATATTATTTAGGACCCCAAAATACTACCACAGTTGGACTACTACTAAAATTTATCACAGTATACCTCTCCTCCTCACTGAGAGGAGGTATGTTTACATCGGAAGAAATTAATTTATAACATTAAGGATATTAAGGATAATTTTTATTTCACATATGCTAGAGCTTCTTTCTCTCTCGGCCCAACCTAACTCACAGGATTGTTGTGCAGAACATAGGAGTGGGACGCTTTGTTGGATATGTTCACCTTCTTGAGTGATTTGTAAATATAATAAAAGGCGGGATACAGATAAATAAATAAAATAAAAATAAAAATCCATATACATGACTTCCTTTTCTTTTTCTTCTTCTTCAGACTTTTTGGTGGAAAGCCGAATAAACAAGCTCCCATAACAACAGCAGAAAGCATGAAGAATTCAGTAGTCATCTCCAACCCACATGCAACCATGAACCAACAAGGAAATCCAGAATCTCCTTCTGGCAGCGGCATATTGAGTAGTGGTGGAAGTAGCCCTCTTTATTGTAAAAATGCAGACACAAATCAGTCTCCATTAGCATCTAGTCCCAGTTCAGCTCACTCGGCTCCTTCCAACAGCTTGACCTGGGGTACTAACCCCAGTAGTTCTTCTGCTGTAAGCAAGGATGGGATTGGATACCAGTCTGTCAGCAGCCTGCATACCAGTTGTGAATCCATTGATATTTCTCTCAGCAGTGGAAGTGGGCTGAACCACAATTCTTCCAGTGGCTTGATTGTGGCTTCTAAGGATGACTCAGTGCCTCCCTTTGTTAGAACCAACAGCGTAAAGACAAACTTGTCAGAAAGGTGAGAACATTTCAGAAGATACCAGCATTTTCCCTGTCCCCAGTTATTGTTTGTGGTTTATATATTGAGGAACTGAGTTCTAGGTGCTTTCCATAGTTTTCAAGTCTACTTAAAGGTAGCAATTTGTGATAATTATTCAAATCGATTTTTCACTTTGATATATACAGTAGTCTTGTTTTTGTTAAACATATAGTAATATAGATGGTCAGGTGGAAGTCTGTATCATTTGGTCTCCATCGTTCTGGAAATTTCAAATAACCAAGGGCTTCCAGCAATTGTGATAAAAATATACTTCTCCGCAACTTGGAAAAATGCCCCCTGGAAACTTTGATTTTTATATAATATGCTAAATTGTGTGTGTGTGAGAGAGAGAGAAAGAGACAGAGAGGGAGACAGAGAGAGAGAATTGTGTGTATAATATAATAGTATTTATTTTATGAATATTTTTACTGGTAACGAAGAATATTTGAATCTCGAGGTTGAAATGAGGCGTCCTTGATGCTCTCTGAGGTTGGCTGTTTTCTTGTAGACATTTCTTTATCCAAATTTGTAATATCATCAGTTTTAGTAAAGAGTGATGTTTGCTCTTAATTTATTTTGTAGTGGCTTGCCCTATCAGTATTGGTGGGATATTGTTCTTGATTGGGATATTGTTTACTTCTTGATTGTTGGTCAGATGTTAGTCTTTGTGTTAATCTATGCTCATATGGATTTGATTGCTGGTAGGGAGGTCTTTTGATATTTTTGTTCCCTTTTTTGGCTTGTTGATTGTCTCATTTGCATAGTATGTAGATGTTGTTAATATCTATGTGTCTGTTGATGGCCAATTTGTCAGAGTGTCTTTTGAAAAACTCTGAAAATCTTTAATTTCACAACGTATCAACAGACTCAACCATAGTTCCAGCTAGGAAACTATGGTCATCCTATACCAAGCCTAGTACAAAAATGCTAGGAATTTCTGGAAGCCTAGCACTCTGACAAATTGGCCATCAATAGACACATATATGTAAAGAACATCTACATACTGTGTGAAAGAGACAATCAACAAGCCAAAAGGAACAAAAAGTCCAAAATACCTCCCCACCAGCATTAGATTAACGTCAAGAGTAACATTCAAAAAGTACCAAGACTACTCCCAACGAACTATGGCAGGGCAAGGCACGAGAATTTAAATTTAGAGCAAACTCCACTCCCTTCTATCACTGATGATGCTACCTGGTTTGGATAATAAAATGTCTCCAAGAAAACAACCTCAGATGTTTTTACTGTTTTCATGTTTTTTTCATATTTGTATAATTTCAGAATTGAAAGCTTCCCAGAGTCACTTGATTGAGTGGCTATAGAAATTGAATAAACAAATAAATTATAAAGAACATGCTTTATGTTAAGCAACAGTTTAAGGCAAACTTCATATCTGACTTGTCTGTCAGTCAGATGTGTTTCCTTTTCTGCTTCTTTTTAGATTTCAGCCAGGATCATATAAACATATTAAATATTGTACAGGTAGTCCTTGATTTACCTAACTGAGTTCAGAATTCTGGTTGTAAATTGTGGTTGTAAGTTGAGGCACCATATCATCAGAAGTAATTTTCAAGACCTATTCAAGACAATGATTAAGCAAGCACAGTGGACGTTAAATGCACCCCCCCGCCAAAAAAACCCAGCTAAAATTCCAATAACATGCAAAAAAAAAAAATCACAGGCACATGACTGCAGACTGCATAAAACTGACTTGCCTGTCGTGTGATCACATGGCCTCAGTGCATCCATTTTCTGTGGCCATGCCTTTTGGGCTTTTCAAACCAAAAAGGTTCCTTTTCTGTAACTGTCATAACTTTGGTCATAAAACAACCAGTTGTTAAGCAAGGATTACCTGTAGATGAAATCAATTTGTAGTACAAGAATGAGCACTATATATACAATTTGTAGTACAAGAATGAGCCCTTTAGCTTTTGTGATGAATGAATTAGCCTATTTCTAGGAAAATGAACAATTTGAAGAGTCATCTTTGTCCATCTCTGCATACAAACAGAGAAAACCTAATGACCAAAAGTGAGGCATATGACAAGAAGACCCAGGACTGTAGCTTTTTCTGAATTATTTTGGATGCACCCTGACCTTGCTAAATCACTTAGGCCACGGGTGTCAAACTCACGACATCACATTGTTGTCACATGACTTATCACAACTTTCCCCCCCTTTGCTAAAGCGGGGGTGGCCATGGCCAGTGAATAATGCATCCGGCCCGCAGGCTACAAGTTTGACACCCCTGACTTAGGCAGTTCCTAACATCTTTTAATGATCTATGGCTGTACAAGGTAAAACAACTGTAATCAACCTGTGAATGGATTCTTGTTTTCTAACAGCTTTCCCTTTCTTCCCTTTATGCTAATCTTCCTCTCTCTCTTTGTTGTTATTTTGTTTTTCTGTCTTGTTGAACTTCTTCTAGCCCTCTTCCTTCCCCTGCTGCTAGTCCCAAATTCTGCAGAAATACTTTACCCAGGAGGCAGGACAGGTAATGCTGTCTGTCATAGGGCAAGTGGAATACACAAGATACAGGAGGGTTCATTGTGACACTTAAGAAAGCCAAAGTGTATTGTACAAGGCTGTGCTCAGTGGAGAGTGTGTGTATATTTCACTGAGGTGTGTTGAACTGTCACTCAAAGACATGCCAGTGAGAGTATATTTAATAGAAACAATGACCCAGTTTATTGTGGAGAACTGTGTGGACAAATACAGTGTTTTTTTCAAGAATGCAAACTTAAAGATCTGACAAAATTCTGTGTTTTTTTTTACTGGAAGGTTAAACTCTCACTAGCATTTCTGCATTCTGGTGGCATGCCGCTTTCCCTCATGTTTTCAGTTGTTTCACCTTTTGTCTTGGTTTCCTCTCCCAACTCTTCTGTTGTGGCTGAAATTAGTCCCTGTAATAAGTTGCTTACATCAGTGTCAATTCTAGGAATCTTTGGCTCTTTTGATATTTTGTTGTGTGTACTTCCTTGTGAGAATGAAAGTATGGAAACAATGGAAAAAGCAAAGCATAATGGAAATGTTATTGCTATCATTAGATGTTTAGAAACTAATTATAATGGTAGAATGAATATAATTCTCTATATTTCCAGCACTAAAACCATATCCTTGCAGGCAATACTCTTTACTAAGTTTCAGAATGTATTATTATTAGAGAGATTTAATTGTTTAATAAATGACATGATTAGATGATTTCCAGAGAAGTGATTGTTACTCTAGTAGAGCAAGAATACCAAAGAAACTTGTGGGATCTTAAATATAAATGTATGTTTTCAGGCGTACCCTCTTGCAGACTATAACTCATTTCATTTGATGCATCATTTCAGGATTCACTTTAGAATATCTAGTTTATTTATTTATCACATTTTGGAACTGCCCATCTCCATCACAGAGGGACTCTAGTTATATGATCAGTCTATTATTCACTCCCGCATTAAACTAAAAGTATTTGTACTGTTGGCAGATATTATTCAGAACAAAGCTCTTTGGAACATTTACAGCCATAACTTGCTGAAGTTGTGTTTTTGAAAGATGGTCAGGTGTGATTTGAATATAGCTTATTTCAATGCTAATCTTATTTCCTGAAAAAAAGAAATAATCCTCGTCATAGACACCTAAGTGCCTATTTACTGGTTCATACAATATATCCCCTTTTTACCCTTCAAAAGATTGCAGATTGATGGGGGGGAGGGGAATCTTGGTTGAGAGTTGAGAGATAGTGTTGTATTTTTTGTGTATTTTTGAAGGCAACTTTTGTCTTTTTGTTGTCATAGGGATGAGCAGTATACATTTACCCAGAAACATTCATTTCAAATATATATATAGTAAGAAAAGAAAGTATCACAGTTCCTTTTGTTGTAGAGAAATGTCCAGTCCAACTTCCAAACGAGCTTGAAAAGTTGCGTTAAAATATGTATTTACAGCGTTCCAAATTCGATGTCCCCCAGATATATTAGATATGTTAGTTTGCTAAATTTCCATCTGAAAAGTTCCAAGTTGGAAAAAGTTGAATTGAGCTGTGAGATCTCAGTCTTGGGTTTGACTTCATCTAGCATGGTCCCATTTGCATGTCGTGTGTAACAGAGTCTAAACCTAGTTAGGTTTTTGCATGTTGATTTGACGGGGACCTTCGTCTCTCCTTTTCAGTGCTAAGACAGAGTTGTTTAATAGTGTGTTGTTCTTTTTTTTTCAAATTGACCTTTCAATTCCCCTTTTGCTCTTCTCTGAAGTTCTTTCTCTTTTAACTTTTCTACAGCGACCCACATCTTGATAGGAACACTTTGCCTAAGAAAGGATTCAGGTATTGGTGTTTCCGTATAGCATAAGTAGTTTTCCATGTGGTTTTTGGAACTTTTTTTTTTTTTGCCTGTATGTCTTCCGTGTCTTTAGCGCTGGTGGTGGTCTTTGCTTTGCAGTGAGTGGCTGCAGTCTCTTTTCCCCTGTCTTCCATCCCCTTCCCGGCTGTTCTCTTGAAGCAGGTCATTATTCTGTCTTTTCACCTACATGCTTCTTTTCATAGCTTCTCAGCTTGAGCAGGATTTGTAACTATAGCTGGCTGGCTTTTCAGAAACCCAACTCACCAAGCTTGACTTGCAAGCAATAATTTGCAGCTTTTATGACTGAAATATGTAGTAACTGGATGATGTTATTCTCACAGTGTTAACTTCTGAAACTCAGATCAAGAAGAACCCAGAAGTCATTCAAAGTGCAGGTTTTGCTGCATGACAGCTGAAGCAGTAATTGTGCTTAAGGAAAAAAAAGATGGCAATTTAATGATTAAAAATTAAAGTCTGTATTATAAGCAATTTGACATCAAGAAAAATTAGACTGAAAAAGGATACTCTCTTCTTTCAATGAAAACTTACAACTTCACTCCATTTATTAACCTAATTGTCACAAATTGAAAGTCTAAACTAATTCCACAGATATTGTCCATTCAATTTTAAAGTAGATTGTGCTGCTGCTTTTTACAATCACTGAACTGATGGCTTTAAATTACAGCTGCAATTTATTCTGTGCTATAAACACCCTATTATTTGCAGCATCATTGATTGTCTCACTGAGCTGGATGCTAGAAGTGCTGTGTAAAATAGAGATGGGCTAAGATTGAATTAAGTTAATTGGCTTGTAATATTTTTCCACCTATCCAATGTGTCCATTTATTAATGAATACTGTTTTTAAAGTTGAAACATTTAAATGTCAAGGAGGTAGGTATCTGTAGTTTGTTCATTTACATATTACTCTAATGTTTGTGTGCCTTTTTATGGCTCCAGTTTCTCAATACACATGAACAACTTTTAATATCAGAAAAATTTACTGCAAAAATCTAGGTGGCCTAATTTTTTAGTGCCAAGTACATATTAATATCACTAGGTCACTCTGGAACATGAAAATTAAATATTGAAATTCCTACCAAAACCTTGTATGAAATGTAACTGCTTATGCTTTAAAGGAAGTGTTTTAAAGAATATATTCACTTGCTGGCAGGGCTTATTTTATTTTTATGACTGGGAAGAAGGGGAAAAATTAACACCTATCACATTACATATTAAATTCAGTCTTCATCAATCTGATATTATAATTGGGTATGATTGTGTATAAGCTCATATATAAACCACCTGTGGATAAGCCAGCCTTTGAAATTTTCTTGTGTTTAGTTTTCATTATTGGCTGATTTCATGGCTAGTACATTTTTCATTGTATTTTGCCTAAAAATTCAAACTTATCCACAAGTGTATATGGGATGTGGATACTTTAAAAAGCTGAGGAAATATACTCACAAATAAGCCTAACCAATTTTTCAGGTGTGTTTTGACACCTAGAATTCTCGGCTTACCCTTGAGTATATGGTACATATGTGGAGTGCAAAGAGCTGAGACAGTTAGCTAAGTCATTATCAGATGATGGTAAATATATGAACCCAATATGTATACAATCTATAGGCATTCATAGATCTCCTTTTGCTAGATCTTCAGGTTTGATTCTTGCAATTCAGTTTTGAGCAGCATTATTTTAAGGACCTAATTTTAGCTTTTCTCCTCTCACTTTTCTACAAGCCAGTAGCCTCCGTGTATTTGTATACATATATTTGTGTAGAACCAACTCTAAAAATTAGTATTTAGTGGCAGCAGTGGCTGTTGGCCTTGTTGAATGAGATCATTGGAAGTTGTTTAAACATAACTACAAGGCATCAGGTTTAAGATATTCGCAAGTATCTTGTTAGAAAAGGAATAATTAACTGGCTTTAGATCACACAGTAGATTTCATGGTATCTTGCATTGACGTATTATGAGTGGCTATTTATAAGCCATGAGGAATTGCAAACTATCAGATAAATTAATAATGTTCCTATTCATGGTAACAGATACTGGTAATAGCTGCCTTTATTATAGCATTTTCTTGAATTTGACATTCAGAGAAACCTACTTGAATCCAGACTAAGTCATGTTTAAAGTAGGTCCACTGGAATCAGTGGTTCCTACTTTGATCATGATACAAACCGATGTGTCCTAAATTTAAAAAGTTCTTAAATATCTGTAAGATGAAATCTTTCAACTAGGCTAATTCTACTGACATGAAAAGGTGTGTTCTGGCAGAGAAAGGTTTCTTTTCAGTTTTACTGTTTTCTCTAAAATACTTTTATAATTTGGTCAAGGAAGATATTTCTGAGCAAAAGCTAAACCTGATTGTGATTTGTACAGGTATACACCATCATCACAACTTCGCAATCAAGAGGAAGCAAAAGAATGGCTGCGTTCACATTCTGCTGGCGGTCTTCAGGACACTGTTGTCAATTCTCCGTTTTCCTCTGGTTCCAGCATCACATCACCATCTGGCACTAGATTTAACTTCTCCCAGCTTGGTGAGTAAACTTTTATGATTCCATTCAACTGTGAAAAGTACATCTTGTTCAAAAAAAATATGTAAATTAATTGGTGATTGATACTGATAAGCTGGCATGTGTTGATATAGCATGCCAATTGAAACATACCAAGCCAGTATGGTCATTATGCACATAATTTAGAGCCATGCAAGTTTTATGTTATATCTGAAAAATTATTCACTGTTTTTCACTAATCTGGTTTTAATTGGTTATGTAATTGGGTTTTTTAAGAAACAATAATCTGTTTTATTTAATCTTCACTATGAATGAACATATATTTTAAGATCTATGACTTGATTGAGTTATAAGAATAATAGTTGTTAGGTTAGTACAAAGCCTCAAAGAGATTCTTTGTTTTTAATCAAAGCTTAATTGAACTGCCTTTTTGATACACACCCTGCTTCTAGAGGCTGGGTGAGGGTTTCATACCATGCTGAACTGACTGTTTCACTGGCCTTCAATAGAAGATATTGCCATCAAAGCAAAACAGCCAAGTGAAATAAAATCACTCACTTCAGTGCTTCTCATTGGAGTATCTTGCTTTTCTGAATATGGGCAACATTTTAAAGTGAATTCCTCCAGTGATCAGAATTGAGTCTCAGTGAAGCAAAATAGTATAATTTTGCACAGCCTTAACTATTAACTGGTACCAGTAAGTTTGAGCAGGATCCAAAAATCAGATCAGAAGATGAATAGTTGAAAGTGTATATTATTATACCCAAAAATGTATGACCATATCACCAATTCTATGGTAAATATATACTATAAATGGGTCAGCCTTGTTTCTGAAATCGTACTTGGTTATTTTTCTGGGAATACTATCTTCTTTATTTGATATCTTAAGGGTACCAAATTACTTTATTGTGGGAAGAGAGGATTCTTATCCAAGAAGTTTTAGCTTTAAGAGTATCATCTCCAATGACTTGACTTGATATTCTAATAATGTCTGACTTTGTGCCTGACTATCAGAATTTCAGTTAATACTGTAACTTGGTTACTATTCTGAATCAATATAGTAACATGGTTGGAGTAAGCATGATTGTAGAAGTTTCTTCCAAGACTTCATTTTCTACCTGATTAATGCAGGGTAAATTTTCAGAAAGATTTAGTTAGAGACTACTACTCTTATGCTTATAGTAACAGTTAGATTTGTTCATTTGTGAAAGTAGCATAACATGGGTATAGATCTGTGAATTTCCTATCTCTGGTTTGCTTTCTAGCGAGCCCCACCACAGCGGCCCAAATGAGCTTATCCAACCCAACCATGCTCCGGACACACAGTCTTTCTAACGCAGATGGCCCTTATGATCCTTACAATGACTCCCGGTTCCGGAACAGCTCAATGTCACTGGATGAAAAGAGCAGGACAATGAGCCGTTCTGGGTCATTCCGGGATGGATTTGAAGAGGGTAAGTAATCCAGTTCATTTTTTCCCCAAAAAGTTGAATCGTGTATGCATATGGGAAGGAATTTGACAAAAATTGTTTATTAATTTTTGATTGATGTCTATTTCCCTTATATTTATGGAAAAGGGAAAAAACATATTCAAAACTTTGTTTAACACAGTAGACTTTGGATTCAATGAATGCTGATGTCAGAAAATAGGGTTGAAATCAGATGCCACTGTACAAGCTTATAATTTTTAGATGTGAAAAGATCTGTGAAATAGTCCACGAAGCCTTAATGCTACCTTTGAATGCACAAGACCTCTTTTTCAGACCTCCCATAATTTCCTAGGCTAGTGATCTTTCTCTTCCCAGTCTTCTTTTTTCTACTATCAGTTGAATATGAATTGGTTGTGCCTAGTATTAGGGTAATGATTTAACTTGGGGAAAAATAGTAGATTTTCAAAAAAAAAAAAAAACTGAAACAGCTATACTACCTAAAAACTAGCTGTGGAACAAAAGACATTTTTTTTTTGCTGATATCTTTTCTGATAAACTTTTTTTTTATCTTGATATCTTGTTCACTGAGTTCAGCACTTGGGTGACCAGTTGGTGAACTAACCAGATCTGGTTTTTGTCAGAGATTTAAAAAAATATTATGGAAGTTCAAAAATACATTGAGTTTTTAATTGCCTAATTTAAGACCAGACTTTTCTTAGTATAGTTCTTAAATTTTATGTTTAATTGTGAACTTTATGGGTCAGAACAATTCTTTTTTTTAACCATTTTACACAATTTCAGGAACCATAAATATATGGTTTAGACAGGTGGTATTCAGTAGGTTATGACCAGTTCTGGAGAAACAGTAGTGGAAATCTTGATTAGTTGGGAGAACCAGCAAATACAACCTCTGACTGAAGATTTTACAGTATTCTTCCCGTGCCACGCCCACCAAGCCATGCCCACAGAACTGGTAGTAAAATTATTTGAATCCCACCACTGGTTTTAGATGGAAATATGTGAATTTCTTGGGCAATTTGTATTTTGTAAGAACAGTAAAATTTAATAAAAGAAAAAAAAAATGAAAAGTATAACAAATGAAAATATGTATAATATTTTCTGTGCCAAGAATAATTTTGGACTCAAAGCAGAATAATTCAATATGCAGGTTTGAAATACAGAAACATCATACTTGGTATTCAGATTTTCAGACACATAAGCACTTTGGTGAACTAAGAGGTTGTAAAATATTCTTGGTATTTGATGAATGTAAAAGTAAACTCCTTAATAGAAGAAATCACTGTGCTTTTTTGGAATTTGTAACAATAGCAGGTGATTTATTTTCATACAAGTTCCCCTTATAATGATTTAGGAATGTCTAATAGAAGCAGGATTCAAATGTCATAAAACCACATTTCAAAAACTCACATACCAGAATAAAATCACTACTGCAAACTTGATTACATTATATACAGTACCTGGGTTTGTAAAATATAATAGTCTGATTTACATATTTGCTCAAAGTGCTATTTATTTTTAGAATTACTGATACTATTTACATACTGTACAATAGCAATGTAGGCATGCAAGAATCATGTTTCACATAATGCTTAACAATCCAATTGTTTTACAAATGTTGACATTTGTTCAGTTTCAATAAAAAGTATTGAATATGCCCTTAAAACAGACCAAAAAGTGTACAATTGATGTGAGGAATCTAGAGATCCTACTTCAATAAATATATTGCCATTTTACTATTACTTTAATACTTTATTGAGTATCTACCCAGGTGTGTTGTTGGAAGGAAGGCAATCAGAAAGCAACATGCTTGATTTGCAATAATTATTCTACATAATGGTATGCCATTCTGCATTGAGTCAGATCTATGAGTCCATTGCACTCTGCTTCTTGGCAATATGAAGTTTTTTGAGGACTAATATAGAAAGAAAATATCATCTTGCCTGTTCAACAGCTAGCCTTATTCTTCAAAGACTGTGGGATTAGCCATTTTAAAAGAAATAATATAGGAAGTGTTTTCAACTGTAGATGCACCTATTTTGAGCACCATTTAGCTTTGAATCTCTTTTGATACCAAAGCTGGATAAATCTATTTTAAATAATTATGTTTGTTTTTTAAGTGTAAATACATACATTTATATATTAATATTTTTAAATTATTTTGTAAATCACTTTGTAAATATGTTTGACAAAAATGTATTTTTTCCTAGGTTTTTTTCCCTTAGGAAATATCAAAATACACTGCTCAAAAAAATAAAGGGAACACTTATGTAACTCCAAGTCAATCACAATTCTGTGAAATCAAACTGCCCACTTAGGTAGCAACACTGATTGACAATCAATTTCACATGCTGTTGTGCAAATGGAATAGACAAGAGGTGGAAAAAGACATCCCCAATAAAGGAGTGGTTCTGCAGATGGTGACCACAGACCACTTCTCAGTTCCTATGCTTTCTGGCTGATGGTTTGGTCACTTTTGAATGCTGGCAGTGCTTTCACTCTAGTGGTAGCATGAGATGGAATCTACAACCCACACAAGTGGCTCAGGTAGTGCAGCTCATCCAGGATGGCACATCAATGCGAGCTGTGGCAAGGTTTGCTGTGTCTGTCAGCGTCCAGAGCATGGAGGATTGTCCAGAGCATGGAGGCGCTACCAGGAGACAGGCCAGTACATCAGGAGACATGGAGGAGGCCATAGGAGGGCAACAACCCAGCATCAGGACCGCTACCTCCGCCTTTGTGCAAGGAGGGACAGGAGGAGCACTGCCAGAGCCCTGCAAAATGACCTCCAGCGGGCCACAAATGTGCATGTGGCTACTCAAATGTTCAGAAACAGACTCCATGAGGGTGGTATGAGGGCCCAACGTCCACAGGTGGGGGTTGTGCTTACAGCCCAACACCGTGCAGGACATTTGGCATTTGCCAGAAAACACCAAGAATGGCAAATTCGCCACTGGCGCCCTGTGCTCTTCACAAAGCAGGTTCACACTGAGCACATGTGACAGATGTGACAGGGTCTGGAGACACTGTGGAGAACGTTCTGCTGCCTGAAACATCCTCCAGCATGACCGGGTTGGCAGTGGGTCAGTAATGGTGTGGGGTGGCATTTCTTTAGGGGGCCGCACAGCCCTCCATGTGCTCTCCAGAGGTAGCCTGACTGCCATTAGGTACCGAGATGAGATCCTCAGGCCCCTTGTGAGACCATATGCTGGTGCGGTTGGCCCTGGGTTCCTCCTAATGCAAGACAATGCTAGACCTCATGTGGCAGGAGTGTGTCAGCAGCTCTTGAAAGACGAAGGCATTGATGCTATGGATTGGTTCGCCCGTTCCCCAGACCTGAATCCAATTGAGCACATCTGGGACATCATGTCTCGCTCCATTCACCAATGCCACATTGTACCACAGACTGTCCAGGAGTTGGGGGATGCTTTAGTCCAGGTGTGGGAGGATATCCCTCAGGAGACCATCCACCACCTCATCAGGAGCATGCCCAGGCGTTGTAAGGAGATCGTACAGGCACATGGAGGCCACACACACTACTGAGCCTCATTTTGACTTGTTTTAAGGACAATACATCAAAGTTGGATCAGCCTGTAGTGTTTTTTTCCACTTTAATTTTGAGTGTAACTACAAATCCAGACCTCCATGGGTTGCTAAATTTGATTTCCATTGATAATTTTTGTGTGATTTTGTTGTCAGCAGATTCAACTATGTAATGAACAAAGTGTTTAATAAGAATATTTCATTTATTCAGATCTAGGTTGTCTTATTTTTGTGTTCCCTTTATTTTTTTGAGCAGTGTATATTCCAGTGTACTTTCCCTTACATTGCTGACTTACATTTAAATAACTCTTTTTACCTAACCTTAGTCACACCAAAATATTCAGTCTTCTTTATTTACGAAATCTTTTAACTCCCTTTTACTGTTTATGCTTCAGGCCAACAATATGGTGAAACTGGACTGGTCAGTTGAACCTTTACTTTGTCTGCTTCTCATCATCTTCTGTTCCATTTTCCATGCACTATCATAACCGTGCAATGTTTGAAACACAGCAGGCAGGCAAATATTTACATCCAAATAATGATTTTTTAAAAGCTTGATTTGAGATCATTTTGGGCTATGGTCTGTATAATGCTTCCATTTATTTCAGCTTACCTTCTGATACGTCTGCAAAGATTTATGTTCAGTAAATATGTTCATGACTGGTGATGCAATTTTAAAATAGGCTGCTGGTGAAATGTGTAGCTCTTACGAACATCCGTAATATGTATACGGCTTATGTAATAATCTGCTGTTGTTACTTATCATATAAAACATAAATCTGATGGCTAATTTGTTTATTTATCTTTCCTGTAGTGCATGGTTCATCTCTATCTTTGGTGTCAAGCACATCATCTATTTATTCAACGGTGAGTGTCATAACCACAATAAGTCTGTATGAAGTATGTAGCAAAAAAATGTAACAGATTTAATTCATTAAATAGGACTATGGACCTTAGAGCTCAAACTAGAAGAAGGAATGGAATTATTATTCTCCCAAGGAACTTCTGTGCTTTGTTGTATTCTTATCCTTTGATTCCTATAAGATGGACAGAAAATCCTATGAAATCAGTGGATAGAGAAACTCAGGCTGACAAACTGCTGAATCCAAGTCCTCTTGGACTTAAAACTGCCAAAGCAGAAGTGAAATAGGGAATTACATAAGCTCTTCTATTTGTTTTATGTAATACAGCAGTTTCAAATGAAATATTATCTAGTGAAAAGTGGATGTCTTTACTTACAAAAAGTGCTTTTTAAGAGAAGTACACTTTGCTAATTAGCCAGCACAATACATAATTTGCCACTAATGAAGGAGAGTGTGTCCCATTTGATAAGCACCTGAATTAATTAGTAAAGATATTTATAATTACAGAACTGGAGCAGAAAATAATCAGTGAAATCAATATTTCTTTCTGGTAAATTTTAAGCCCTTAGTCAGTGGCCCCAGCCTTTTGGGTACCAGGAACCAGTTCCATGGAGAGAGGCTGAGGGCGTGGTTTTATCTTCATCCTGCACATGCACAATGCCACATGGCCCAGGGATTGGGGAATCCCTAAATCCTATAAATCCATGCTCATCACAGAACAACTTAGCTAGAAGGCAAAGAACAAGAAACTCCATTTTTTTGTATCAGGAAAAAAATATAATAGTGTATCTTTTTTTTAATGTGCCTGCTGCATTTACTGACATTATGGAATAGAGTGCAATAATATTTATTATTTATTTACAGTAATATTTTGATGTTTCTCTTTTCATATTATACAAACTGCACATCAAGAACATTATTAAATGGTAAATTAATAAAAATAATTGTGGCTTGGACAACTTATAGCTGAATAAAAGCTGTTTTGGATTAAAAAGACTTAAGTGTTTTGAGTGACAGGTTATTGGTAAGCTGAACAATTAAATGAATCCACTGGTTTTAATACACTTTTCAAACAAAGTCTTCTTTTTCCCCCCATAGCCTGAAGAAAAATGTCAATCAGAGGTAAGGAGGATTTTGTTTTTCTTAAAATTACTAAACTTAGTGACTGGTACTCATTTTAAATATTTAGATAATTGCATATGATATTTCATTTTTAAAAATCAGTGATATGAATATAGTGGCCTGTTAAATTATTTATTATTCCTCTTAGTATAAATCTATATAAATTAAGAGGAATAATATATAAATGTAATATTGTAAAAATTAAAATTTGTAATAATGTAAATTTATATAAATATAAATCTCTTTCACCAACTTTATTGGAATACCTTCCAATTGAATTATTGCATGTACCAATGCTTCAAGTACAGAAATGGACTGAATCAAATCCAAAACATACATACACACATACACACACACACACATTCAAATGCTCAATAAATTTTGTTCTGTATTCTGTCATCTGATCTAGCTATATGGGCTTAGACATTACTGGGTGGAAATATTGTTTTGATTTTATTTTTGCATTTTATATAAAGAATGAGTTTGGAGAACTGGACATTTGCTTGCTGATAGACAATGCATTTTGTATTAAATATATTGACTGAATTGAGAGTGAGGTAATACTTTTAATCTAATCTAGTGCACATGATGTAATTTTACCTGAATACCTTAGAACCATAATGATTAATCTGTCTGCTGGCTACACTCCTATGTAAACTCTTTAAGAAGATCTACTAGTGGAATTTGTTAATACTTAGATAATATTTACCCAGCATTTAGAAAAGTAGAGTTTTCATATGTATGTCTTTCTCTGATCAAATATTTCTGAAAGCAGCTAACAAAAAGACAAAAAATCTCCATAAAAGTAAAAAGAAGTTTTCAAATTTTCAAAAGAAGTTTTAAATGAACAAAACTGCTAAAACCATCGTAGTTTATTAAACTGTACAAACAATAGTGGCTTTATAAATAACTACATCTTAGTCCATCATTGTGTCTGAACTAAGTCAGTAAAGTAAGTTGAAAATAACAAATAACAACAGAATAAATAATAGTGGTTATCAGCCATATATGAAGCAATTGAACTGCAACTGATTTGCCAGAGGATCAGGTATGTAGATCTGGAACTTCTATCAAAATGAATTTCCACAAAAATCGATGCCATAATGCCAAAGGCATTATTTGCAGTAGTTGAGCCATTATAAGTAGTTGAGCCAGTCATTATAACTGTGCCAATAGTGTGTCTTCAAAGAGGTCCAGAAGTTATATAGGGCATTTGGGTGGGTGGGTGGATATGTGTGGGTATTGAAGATCTTGTTAAACAAAACCATGTTTTGAAATACAATGTTTAGATTCGCAAGCTGAGGAGGGAGTTGGATGCATCACAGGAAAAAGTTTCAGCTCTGACAACCCAATTGACTGCCAACGTGAGTACAGTTCAGAGAGACGGATAATGATAATTGATGGTAAAAAATGGTCTGAACTATTCTATAGCTCTGAATAGCTATATTTTTAAAAGAAAGAAAGAACATTCCTTCAATGACTAAAAACATTCACTTTAGATTATTTTTTTATTGAAGAAACAAATATCAGGCTAGTACTGTAACATGTCAGCTTCTCCAAAGATTTAGGCAGTGTGAAGCCTATATTTTTCAGTATACATTCTCTGTCTGTTGACATTAATCTTAAATGTTTGCATGCATTACAATTGCTGTAGTTCCCAAAGCAAACATGAAAATTTAGGGATCAGCTTTTCTCTTTTTTTCCTTCCTTTCATTGTAATGGTAGAAGATAATCTGTTTTTAAATGAATGATTTAGCTCCTTCTCCTTAAATGACCAGGGAATATTCAGTGTGAGACTATATTTTATAATTTCTGTAAAATTAGCTTGCTCACATGATATTTCTTTCACAAAAAGGGTTTGACATTCCATATGTGGCTAGTTTTTTGTTCAAGCAGGCACAGTTGTTGAATTATCACAATTTATGTCAGTCATAAGTGGTAGCCTATAAAATAGTTTGGAAATGAAACCAACTCATCCAGAATGATGGGTTTCTAAATATATATCCTACCTTTCAAGTGTGCTTTATAGCAGTCAGGATGGCTAAATGTAGGGAAATTACTACAAGTAATGCTGTTTTGATTAATATAGAATAGACCATGAATTTAAAAGATTCCTCTCGTGCATTAAACCAATGTTTCCCTTAACAATCCCCAGGTGTATGGACATCAACTCCCAGAATTCTCATTGATAGCCATGCTGGCCATAGAATTCTGGGATATGAGCACCACATACCTGATAATCGCTGGGAAGCAGTATACCAAGCAGAGATGCCTTGCTTTCCAGAACTGAAGCTGCTGAAGCTTCATTTACTATGAAATACTTAGTTGTAAGGCTTAGCCATTTATTCCTACACAGTGCAGAAATATATTAATAAGGTTGCTGCTATTCAAAATGTAACGAACATTTTTCTTTTTAAAAAGAAAATGATGGGAATAATTGTCCAATAGTAAACACATTTTTCACTTCACATCACGAAAGTCAGAAATTTGATTTCATCTTAAAAGCTTCCTCCCCACACTTCCTTCTTTTATTTGAAATGAAAACCTTTACAAGTATTATAGTTAGCACATTTTTTTCAAACAGGAATTATTTGCTCCAGTATTTTTAAATAAACATTTTAGCTGTGTAATACATGTACTCTGGGCTAAGCTTGTTTTGTTTTCTGCCATTTTTCTCACAGTCTGAGTCTGGTTTGTTTTTACAGCAGCGGAGAGAAGTTAAAGCCACATATCCCAATGTTTCGATCTTCTTTATGGTTGTTTTCACGGTAAATGTGAGGACAGATATGCTGGTGGGTGGCTGCAGAAAACTTACCTTACCACATAATCATAATAAAAGAACTGGGTTAGAGAAAAAAGCTGCCATCTTTTAGACTAGGGTTTCTCAAAGTTAGGAACTTTAAGAGGTGTAGACTTCAATTTCAGGAATTCTCCAGCCAGGCATACTGATTCGGGAATTCTAGCAGCTGAAGTCCATGTTTCTTGTGGAGTCCCTAGTTTTCTGTTCTATTGGTACCACCTTAAAACTTCTAAATTTGAGAAACATTGCTTTAGACCAGGGGTGTCAAACTCACGTCATCGTGGTGGTGTCACATGACGTATCAGGACTTTTTTCCCACTTCACTAAAATGGACGTGGGGATGGCCAGCACGTGACGCATCCGGTCTGCAGGCCAGGAGTTTGACAGCCCTGCTTTAGATTATGTATCAGAGATGCATGTTTGTATCAGATCCACTATCAGCACTCTGCACTGATCACTATGTAACAGTATAATGTGAAGCTCTTATTAATTGGAACAGGTGTCACAGCTCTAAGTAAGGAATTGTGGAAACTTGTTCCTTGATTTGGTAATGTTATCCATTCAAGAAGTGTATTGCTAGTTGGTATATAGAGCTATTTGATTTTGCTTCCCACATCTCAAGTGTCTGTGTTGGGTTTGCAGATGACATTTGCAGCAGAGTGGAACTATCTGTAGATTATCATGTATGCTGTGCAGTATTTTTCATTTTTTTTCTCATTTGGATAAGCTCACAATCAACTGGATTATATCATTTAATTTACAGGCTCACCTCGTGGCAGCATTTGAGCAGAGCCTAGGAAACATGACCATTAGATTGCAAAGTCTTACCATGACTGCAGAACAGAAGGCAAGTTTGACATTCCCTTGTTTATTTCCATGAATAATGATTCCAAAATCAACTTTTTGAAATTGAGTTCACCATAAGTAATGATTTTGAGATCAAGCTAGCAAGCAAATTAAACTTTCCTCAGCATATGTCAGGATTCTGATTTGCTCTTTTGCCAGTAATCAATATATAAACTTTCCTGGAAGAAAGAATATAAGAAGAAATTGTTGGCTATTTACCTGAGCAATTAAAATGTCAACCTAGGTTTCTAATTTCCAATCACAGAGTTTTTAGAATCCATAATTTCTTGACATTCTCTCTCTAATTCTAGAAAATTAGTATTTTAGGACTTATGTATGTTAGAGAGTGAGCAGAAATATGAGTAAGCGAATAATAAAGCAAAAATACCTTTGTTTGATAGTTTCAGTTGCATCCCATTCAACTATAGCTAAATAGTTGAATAGCCAGATGGTTTCTTATTTTAAAAGTTTACATAAAGGGAGATATGTTTATCTCTGAAATACAACAACGCTAAATGATTCCCTCGGACAATATTACACTTGCATTGTGTTTTCCTATAACTATATAATATAGAAACAATTCTAGCCATAAATAATAAATTTATCATATTTTCTATCTACTAATACATTTTAAACATAAATCAAGAATATTTTCTGTGGAACAGTAGACCTATCATAAAAGAAGAAAAATATATGTCTACTTAGACAATTTTGGTGTTACATTTTTCCCTTTGATGTAATTTGGGATAATAGAATCTTCTAACTGTGCAGTCCTAGACTTGTCAGCTGAGATGTCAGGTCCCACAAAATTCAGTAAAGGCTCATGAATAGGTGACTGTTGCCCGACACATTTAGAAGTTCTAGTTTTGGTTAAAGTGCCTAAAACTTGAGTAATGCTTTAGCACCAATGCCTTATCATCTATGTAGTTTACTATATAAGTGCTAAGGCAATTGAATTTTAAGGCATCATAGTGTGAATGGGAGAAACAAAATATCTATGACAAATCGATGCATCTTATCCAATGGATTGTGCACATGGCAAAAAATATTGATTAAAAAGTGTTGTGCGTGACTGTACACCCTATGATTGAAGAAGTGAGACATGCTCCATGAAGTTGTTGCTCAGGGACCAACCACAGATTTACCAGTATTAAAACTAAAAATTTTCTAGGTAATTGATTGTACTTATTGAAACCTTCATTGTGATTTTTGTTTGTTTGCTTGATTTCTTCATGCTTCAGGATTCAGAATTGAATGAGTTAAGGAAAACAATTGAATTACTGAAAAAACAAAATGCTGCTGCCCAGGCTGCCATTAATGGAGTAATTAACACACCTGAGCTCACCTGCAAAGGTAAAAAATCCAAAATACAATCTTTACTTTCAATAACAATGTAGCACTCTGAGGACATTCAGCCTCCTGATAATAGCTGATGCAAAGTTCTTTCCTAGAGATAGATAATTATCAATCTTGAAAGTGTCTTTCATGAAATAGTAAGCCTATATTAGTCAATAATCGTTATCATTTATATACCAGTATATATATTTTATATCCTGAACATTTAAGGTTGTTAACCAAAATCAATAAATCAAAATTAGGATATAAAAAGTTTAGTGTAGTTATAGTGTATGTTTAAATTATGTTTAATTTTTGTTCCTAATAATTTTAACACTAAAAAGAATATTAGAATTATTTAAGTTAAGAATATGACATTATTATTAGTATTAGTTTACCATAATTTGAAATAGTTGTAATGGTTTTTTTTTAAAAAAAAAATAGTTTTACAGTAAACAGTGTTCAGATATATGAACGGCACTAATATCTGCAGAAAGAAAAACAAAATGAAGCAATAATTACAAATTGTCTTGCCACTCTTTGCCATACCTATCTGCCTGTCTATAATTCTGCAGTTTGTCATGGGCATGTCATTGCCCTTTGGCCTTTCCTTACTATGATAATCTTACACAGCAATCAGAATTGGTCTGTTTTTTCATTTTCCTTAATTAGTGCTGTTTTTCTAGTCTAACTTCTGTGATTCCATGGTGTGGAATGGCAGACAGGTGAGAAACCGTGTGTCACAACACAAATTCCACCCCTTGCATGTGATGGCATGACCCAAGAAAAAAAGACTTGTGTTGGGATGTCACAAAGTACATTTCATCATTTTGGACTTACTGTGGTTAGCTGTAGTTTCTTCTGGATGCCACTTCTTTTTCAAGGCAATAAGGTAATAAGGTGCAGAACAGAAAACATACAGAGGAAAAAGCCCAAATATTATGTCCAAATGTCTACAACTATGTTTAAATTAATATTTAGGAAGTGGTGGAAGTGCCCAGACTACTGACTTGCGGATCAGAAGACAACACTCTTCAGACAGTGTCTCTAGCATTAATAGTGCTACTAGTCATTCCAGTGTGGGAAGCAATATAGAGTGTGACTCGAAGAAAAAGAAGAGAAAAAACTGGGTACGTTTAAATAATTTCTTCCAGTGAATAAAGCATAAAGCATGTTTCCCTGAAGAAGTCAAATAGTAAAAGATTATCCTGAGCTGTGATGATGTATTAGAGACATTCAATAGACGTTTCTTCAGCTGACTTTTACTGTGTCAGCTGAACAAATCTATGAGGACTGGGGCAGGTGGGCAAGATTGTATCTCTAATCGGAGGCTTTCCTTTTTTATTTATTTGTTGTTGTTGTTGCTTTTGTAATCATGTAGTATTTTACATACCATGGGCAAAAGCCTACAGCAAGGGTCTTCAAACTTGACAGCTTTAAGACTTGTGGACTTCAAGTCCCAGAATTCCTGAGCTAACATAACCGGAGGAGAAATTCTGGGAATTGAAGTCCACAAGTCTTAAAGCTGTCAAGTTTCAAGATCCCTGGCCTACAGGAAAAAATCAATTTTATTGTCAAAGTATGTGAGGGAAGAGTTAAACCCATAATCACACTTTATATATTTATTTACTTGTATCCCACCTTTTTTTTAAATAAATAACTCAAGGTGGAGAACATATCCACCATATCTTTCTCTTTCTATTTTCCTCACAACAACAACCCTATGAGGTGGGTTGTGCTGAGAGAGAGTGATTGACCCAAAGTCATCCAGCTGGTTTTCATGGCTGAGACAGGAGCTTAGAGTGTCTGGCTTTCTAGCTTGGTGCCTTAACCACTAAACAAAACTGGCTTTCATATGCTTGTATATTTATCCAGTTAAATTGTGCCTTGAAAGATGATAAAGGGACAGGCAATCTAAAGTAAATTGAAAATCTAAATTTCTGTAACATATTTTAGAAGAGTTAACCAGGCACAGAGACCCCAAAGTGATATTTCTGTTACAGAAGATGGAAGAAAGAAATATACATACAACGAAAGTTTCACATCTGTAACCTTTAACTGGGTGGAATGGTGCATCATAGGGCAAAACACTTTCAGCCAAGATACAACAGAGCCTGTTCAATCTGGTAAAGGCACCAATCTAGAAACTGGAAGATTGCAAATTCTAGTCCTACCTCAGGTGTGAAAACCAGCTGGGTGACCCAAGGTGACCTTGGGCCATTCACTCTCAGCCCAATTTACAGGGTTGTTTTAGTGGGGGGAAACAGGAGGAGGAAGTTGTGTTGGATATGTTTCCCACCTTGAACTATTTGTAAAAATACTAATGATGGAGTACAAATAAAGAAAAATACTTCTACAGAATGCTGGGGCTCGTTACTCTTATCAGACTGGTATTTTGGAAAGTTCTTGCTGTTACTTCTATGGAAATGACACGCTACTGTTACCTAAGCCCGACTATGGTCTTTTGATCCTAATTTACAACATTCCTGACATCTTACCACAAGTCAATAGGAAAGTCTGGGAATCTTGTAGGGAGAAAGTTAAGGGGGATCACAAAACCATGATTGACGGAAGCATGGCAGCAGATATGGATTAACATTCTGTGTTTAAAACATACAGTATGTGAGAGGATAACCTAGTGGGTTATTGGTTGTCTAGTTTTGCTTCAAATGTAAATCAATTAGTACAGTTTAGCACACAGATTGTAATTTGTAATGATTGAGATAAATGTCTAGCAATTGTCTAACAATGAGACAAAAGCTAATTGTCTTTTCAGGTGATGAACACCATCATACAATTTTGTATAATGACAGCCACCCACAAAGTTACTAATTATAATCTATGAAAAAAACACGAAGAGATGGCTAAATCTTGCAAGAATTTATCTGTTCCAATTGCAAAATCTCATGAGAAACATTGATGACCTTGCCCCAAATTACTGGAATCTTCTGAAATTTTAAGATACTTTATAATATTTTTAGATGCTGTTTCTTCATTGGTCATGATTTCTCTCATGCAAAGTCCCTTGTGCTAGAAGTAGTTGTAATTTGAACTAAAGCTCTTACTTCCTACAGTCTAAATGGTCAGATTCTGAGTTGTGTCCAAATAAACCATATACTGTTCCAAATGATCTTAAAAATCCAAACAATAATTGAGAACTAACATTAGTTCTGTAGAAACTATTTAGGTCACTAATTTTTCAATATGTTTTGGCCTTTAAAATAGCTATACTACAAGTCTGTTTTTGGTAATTGAAGACAATTTACCACCAGATCATGTGGTAATCTCCCTTGGCCCTTGATCTGGAGATTTAGGATTGTCTGAAGTTGTTTTTACCAAAAAGTCTTAAATTATTTCTTTTCCTTAAATTTAAAGACATCAAATAAATGTGTATATCTAAAGAGGAGAATAACTTCCGCAATGATTGAGGAGGAGAAATGGGAAGGATACATATGTAGGCCTGATTTTGCTAAGCATAATATTAAGATCTATTTTTCCAGCACCATGCCAAGTTTCAGCATAGGAAGGAGTTCAAGTTTGTTCTTCTAGAAATATTATAGATTAATGTATTAAACTAATGGTGAGTGAAGGAGACAACATGATTACAAATTTTAACATATTACGTGATAACCTTACCGGGATCTCCAATCATTTATATAAATCCTCCCAAGACCATAGTCAATCACTTTTGGGGGGAAATAAGAGAGCTTTTAGGTTTTTTTAAAAATGTATGCATTATCCTGTGCTAGATTTAGTGAAGCTCACGTAACTGTATACATTTAGACAATAACCCATTTGTCAACTATTTAGGTATGCAAAGCATCCCGATCGTACATTAAAAGGAAAGAAAAAAAAATTGACAACAGTAGTGTAATTATGTGTGCCTGCTTTGGGGGAGCAGAGGGGCAATATTTGTCTGAGCAATCCAGTGCTTTCCCTGTCTTTGGCTTTATCTGTTAAAATTTGTCTTTTTTTCCTTCCCCTTCCCTTTTGCTTGCACTTCCTGTGGCAGGTCAATGAGGTAAGGAAGACATATCTTAAATAAGCTAACTCATCCATTAACCCTATCTGCATCAGTGTCTGTCTGAGCCATGTCACCTCATAACTGCAGCCTCTCGTTAACATCTTAATAAAACAGTCCTTGGGATGAAAAGAGGTTGGAGTAGGTCTTGTTTACAAAAAAAAAAAAAAAATAGCAGGGAGGTGGGAGAATGCTTCCAAGCAGCACTTATTATTACCAGCACTCATTAGCAAAGCAACTCAGATCTTGCTCTTCCTTAACAAGGTATAAAGTCATTAGGAAGGAATTACTTCTGTCGTTAAGTTTGCACTGCTACCAAATGGAATGACTTGGTAACCTTTTATTTTAAGTGTTGCATGTTAGCTCTTGTCTCTTTTGTTCTTTTATTATCATAAAGCATTTCCCCCCCAATCCATTATGTGTTTACTTTGCTCTTCTCTTTTCAGTTACGCAGTTCTTTCAAGCAAGCTTTTGGAAAAAAGAAGTCCCCCAAATCGGCATCTTCTCACTCCGACATTGAGGAGATGACAGATTTCTCATTGCCTTCTTCACCAAAATTGCCACACAATGGTACAGTGGTATCTACACCATTACTCAGAACTTCACATTCCAATTCCCTGTAAGTTGAATCTGCCAGCAAAAACCCCCCATACATTTCATTTTAATATTGTAACATTACATTATACCAAATTTTAAGTCTCATTTTTCTGGAGATTCTTCCATAAGGTTCAGGTGGATTTTCTTCATCATAAATTCTTTGCTTTTTCACATTAGTTTATCTCCAGACCTCATAACTCTTGCGGTATTTGCTTCCTCATTCTTTTTTCACCATTTGCCTTAAATTCATTCAATTTATGAAGAAATCGCTGCATTTAAGACAGCAATATTTTAATAAGAATTTCTCCTTTTTACTTCAGGGTGGAATATGTGCATGTATTTTCTCTTTGCTTCATTACTCTCATTTAAACTACTGCAAGGCTAAAGTGAATTCAATCATTTTTTTTAACATCTTCCCAACTGATAAAATCTCTTAATTCACTTTTTGTGCTGTAGTTGCAAACAACAGTTGAACAAAAAGCTGCTGATATATTTGATAATAGGCAATTTTCACTCCAGGCATTTGAAGCACAAAACATGATTTCTTTTTTAAATTAAGAATGCATTTTTTTAAAAAAAACTTTAGAAATGACACCTTCATGTTTCCACTTTATAGTTACATTCATTTTCAAATATCTCACAGGTCTATTATTGAAATATTTCAATAATAGACCTGTGAGATATTTGAAAATGAATGTAAGTTTTTTCTCTCAGAAAATAATTTCAATTACCAGATCAGTAGTTGAAATTGACTGAGGCAATGAAAATTTTTTTCCAACAGGTACTTTATAGTTTATTGTTTAGATCAGCGGTCTCCATGCTTTCCGGCTCTGTGGACCAGTGGCAGCAAGGGGGAAGAATTTCAAATGCACGCCATTTGTGCAAATGCAGCTTCACACACATGTTGCCCGCTACTTAGGTAACCTGGTTCCCAATGGGCTGCAGCCTGGCACTGGGCCCTAGCCCAGGGATTGGGAACCCCTGATTTAGATTACAGATGAGCTATTAAAAGTATTTGAGGGGAATCAAGAAAGGTGATTGAATGTGACATTTTCCAAAAGATTAGCACTGTCCTTATATTTAGCATTTATTATTTAATTAAGGTTCTGTATCATTGGATATTACAGATGATAAAATGCAACAAAAATAGGGAATGGAAAACCAAAGTATCAGCAGATAGATTTATAGCATTCATAAATTAGGATATTATAATTTCAATCAACTTTCCTTAAGATGCACAATGATCTTTATTCGCTTAAACTCATGTTCATCACTGTGAAACTGTCCTGTCCACAAAATTCTAAATGTTAGGTAATGCTTAAAGAAGAGGTCTCCAAATATGGCAATCTTAAGACTTGTGGACTTCAAGTCCCAGAATTCTGGTTGCTGAAGTCCACAAGTCTTAAATTTGCCAAGTTTGGGGACCCCTGACTTAAAGCCATGACAGTTTCTGTCATCAATCAAACTGTGATGGGAGACAACAAATTTTGATACAAATACAGTACAGATATAAATACAGTATCTGAAGAATCAACAGCTAGTAGAGAAGGAAGGAACGAAAAGGCACAGTGCTACGGTGTCTGCAGCTTCTAAACTGATTTAGTTGCTTTCTGGATTCTGTTATTAGAAAACAAAAGAATTCTGTTGTAAAGATTCCATGCAGATAGTCTTTGACTTAACGACAAAGTTACAGTGGTATTGAAAAAAGTAACTTGAGAATAGTCCTTGAACTTACGACTGTCACAGTGTTTTTTTCCCAGCTTCCTACCTTTGCAGTGTGCTAAATAACAGTGAAATTGGACTTTAGGTGCAATGTATTTTATCTATAGAAATCTACAGTTGAATTTCCATGCATCAAAATAAGAAGGAAAGGAGCTTTTTCACCCCACTTTTTTGTTGCCACTACTACTAATTTTGTCAGAGTTTAAATGCAGGTATCTGGAAGGTGAGGCCAAAGGCAGCACTATCAGTAAAGGAGGAGGGCTGGTAGAAATGTTCAAAGGAAAGCTGCAAATTCTACTGAAGCTCAGATTCTCCCAGTAGGAGAATTTGGGTTCCTTGAAAATTCACATCTCCTTTGATGGCCAATTTTAATGCATTCTCAAGGTTACATTCCAAGTCTGAATTCTTAGAAATGCACTAGAATTCCTTCAGAATTCTTGCTGTGCTTTGTTGTTTCTTGCCAGCTGTACATTTATTTAAAAAAAAGCGAACAGGAGGTATTTATAAAATGTGTATGTGAAAAACTGCTAACAAACGATACTCCTGGTCCTTTGTGTATTGAGAAGTAATTCAATTTAGTTTTGTAAGGCAAAGAAAGGAAACAGGGAGAGAGAAAGCTGCTGACATGAGGAAAACAAAAGGCGCCTTTTCTTTTCTTTTTCAACCTGGGCTGTATAGAGTACAAAAGAATGTTTTATGTCTGAAAATATATATGTTTCCAAAGCCCTCTAGAATCATACAGGGAGACCCAGCTGTGCACTACACCTGCTGAGTCTAAATCTTTCTTTAAGGCCATCAATCTCCAAGTGACTGCTGCTGCTTCTCCATCTTTGTAAGGTACTTGGGATTTCCAAGTTAAATGGATTTTCCACAGAATCACTACATCCAACCGCAAGTTACCTGCAGAAGCTAAACAGCTGCAGTGGATCAGAACAAGTAGTGCACATGCAGCCCCTGTTTGAGACTCATTGAAATAGTCACAGCTTTTCTCCAGATCGTATGGCTGCTGAAGGAAAGATTCCATATGGCAGTGCAGTCTTGGAAATGTGTTGTATGTGGGCTGTGCTTCACAACATATACTAAAACATTTCTTCCAGTTGCCTCCAAAGCAAAGAAGGTCATAAGTATAAATTTATGTCTTGCTCTGAGATCAGTTTCAAATAATTATGTCCAATGAATCTTAACATTAGCATAAAGTAAAAAAAAATTGTTGAAACCTAGGGAACCAAATTTTAATTTTACTAAAATTGTGTTCATACCTCCCAATAGAACTCCTCACATCCTGGACATGAACTGTTTCAACTGCTTCCCTCAAGATGACACTATAGGGCATTGAATGCCAAAACAACTAGACACAAGGACCAGTTTTCCCTCATCCCCCAATGCTATCACTCTGTGGAACAACTAGTTCCCACAACACTGTAAAGCTATCTAGTAGGGCTGTATTACGTTAACCTTCTCAACTTTCTATTACCTATTCCTTATCTTCTTATGACTATAATTTTGTTGCTTGTATCTTATGATTTATATTAATTTTTATTTAGTATCCTAGTATGAATTATGTTAATCACTTATTTAGTATCCTTTGACTATCACTGAATGTTGTATTTTATGATTTATGATGAATACATTTTATGATTATAGTTATGATTTATCACTTGCTCCTTGTATAGACACTGAGAGTTTATGTACCAGACACAAATTCCTTGTGTGTCCAATCGTACTTGGCCAATAACAAATTGAATTCTAATCTAATCTAATTTAATCTAACCTTAGCTTTATATTTTTTTTTTTTAATAAACTCCCAGAATTTCAGAATGCATTGACAGTGAAGCTGAAACAGTTATGCAACTGCGAAATGAGCTGAGAGACAAAGAGATGAAGTTGACCGATATCCGTTTAGAGGCTCTCAGCTCTGCTCATCAACTGGATCAGCTCCGGGAAGCTATGAACAGGATGCAGGTAGGAAATGTATAGTCCACCCAGGAAGCCTTTACATTTTCCAAAGTGTAGATAAAGCAAAACAAAGATAAAGCAAAGTGTGGATAAAGGAAAAATTCAATTGGGTTGAAACCAGGAAATTTGGAATGTACCAGATGCCAACGCAAGGGCCTTAAACTACAGTTGCCACGAATTGTCATCCAGAAGTTCATAAGAAACAACAGCGTTTGCTTGGTTCTTTGCAGCTGCGACTCTTCAGAGCTTTGATAAAATTGTACTCTGAGAAAACACATTTCGTACATCTGTGTGTTTCTCTAGCACTCTGCAGATGTTTACTTAAACATAAAAAAGATTGGAGGTAGATAGAAGATGGACTATGCTTGAAGGTTATCTTTTGTCTTCCCAGCTCCCACATGTTTCACTTGAAGGTCTGAAGAGGAAAGCTGCAGTCAGATTTGCTTGTTTGCTTGTGCAGCTGTTTTGGGAACCTGATAAGGCAGGGCTGTGAATTAGACAAAAAAGTTGTACTTATGTTTTCACAACTGAATGTGTGAGGACTGAAGACACTGTGGGGCAGATTCATAGTACTCTACCTCCTTTATCTGGTTTTGCATTCTTATACGTTCTTTTGTTTCTTGAATTTTTGTTTCATAAGTTTACCTTGTTATCTTTATTGTTTTTATTTTGTATAATTTGCAATTAAATTTGCATCCAAAATCGGCATAAGTATAATTAAATGGAGAAAAATGGAAAATGATATTAATACTTTGTACGCCCTATATAGAGTCAAGCTACACCCATGATAATTTCAATAACATTTCATCTTTTATGAGCAATTTTCCCTTTATAAGATTGTATCTTTCTTTTAGATACTATGCTTCTGGATTTATTTAAATTTTATAGAAAAAAAATGCAAAAAAATAATATTCTGGGAGAAACTAATTTCAGTGTTGTCAAATTCTCTTCAGGTTTGCTTCTGACAAAGACCACTAGCTTTAACCACCTGCATATCAGGTGTACAATTTTACTAGAAAGGTACACTTTTGTTGCAGGATTGTCAAAAACACACAGGTCAGCCAAGGAAAGAAAAGCTGAAATTGTTTTTTTCTTTAAACTTTGGAGAGTGTGTATATATTTTGACTCCATACGAAGTCTTGGTCTATATCTAGCAATGACAAGATCTTTTGATGAGAAATAAAAAGTTCATTGGAACATGATCAATAAAGAAAGTACAAAAGAAAGAAGCAGGATCTCAGCTAGAATCTACATATTGTGTAGGTATATATACGTAATTGTGTCTATCTCCACTTAAGATGGAGGTAGTAACTGGCAGATATGTTTATACAAATGCTGGCTGGCTATCTTTAGAGACTATGCTGGAACATAAGTTTTGTACTTCCTAGGAGTTTAGACATCCTGATCTCTATGGATCCTTCCAAACCTTATAGTTTGCATTTCTATGATTCCATGATATATTGATCACATTCAGATATAACAAAATGTATTTGTGTTTCTACCCCCCTCACTGTTTTTTTTTTTAATCCAGAGTGAGATTGAGAAATTGAAAGCTGAAAATGACCGATTGAAATCTGAAAATCAAGGCACCTGTAGCCGGGCCCAATCTCAAGTTTTCATTTCATCATCTCCAAGGCAATCCATTGGTCTGTCACAGCACAGTCTGAACCTCACAGAGTCAGCTAGTCTTGGTGAGTATATAGGAACTTCTATAGCTGTGAATTCAGTTAATAGCCAAGATGTTAAAATGGAAGAACGAGGATAGTAAATCTTTCTCTTATAACCAAGATAGTTCTTCTATAAGCTGAAGTATAATATAAACATGACATTCTAGTTATGACCTTAGGTAAAATAAATCACATTCAATGATCTGATTGCAAACATTTAGGAGAATTTTTTTTTAAAAAGAAAACTTTATGTTAATATTTATGTGATCTTTGTTTCTTACATAACTATTCCCAGTTGCTAGGGGATTTTCATTTGTTCAAACTGTGCTTCATAATTTTGAAAATACAAAAGCTGTTTTTTTTAAACCAGGGGTGTCAAACTTGCATCATCGTAGCTGTGTCACGTGATGTATCATAACTTTTTTCCACTTCACTAAACCAGGCGTGTGTGTCATGCATATGGTCCACGGACCGTGAGTTTGACAGCCCTGTTTTAAACAGTATGTGAACCTCAGCTTCCTTTTATAAACATGTTTCTAGCCCACATAGTAGCAGTCATAACTAGAAGAAGATGCTTGTCAGAATCTCAAAAACCAAACCAAAAATAACTTCCAATATTTGAAGATAAAATCTGTGTTTCCCCACCAACAGATATGCTGCTGGATGACCCCAGCGATGGTTCTTCTCGGAAAGAAGGTGGCAGGCATGTTAAAATAGTTGTCAGCTTTCAGGAGGAAGAGAAATGGAAAGAAGTGAGTCAAAATATTTTTGGCCATGATAATATGACTAAGCATGTTGTTAAGAAATACAGATAGTCCTTGTTTTAGTTCATTTGGAGACAGTTCAAAGTTCCAGTAGCACTGAAAAGAGTGACTTATAACCGTTTTTCACACTTACGACCATTGCAGCATCCCCATGGTCAGGCGATCAAAAGTCAAACACTGACTTGTATTTATGACAGTTGTAGTGTCCCAGAGTTATGTGATCCCCTTTTGTGACCTTCTGATAAGCCAAGTCAATGAGGAAGCCAGATTCATTTAACAACTGCAGTTATTAACTTAACAACTGTAGTGATTCATTTAACAATTGTGGCAAGAGAGGTCATAACATGGGACAAAACTCACTTAACCACCATCTCACTTTTGGGCCCCATTGTAGTCGTAAGTCAAGGATCTACATGAGGTTACTGTTTTCTGTTTTTATACTGTTTTTCATCCAAGGGGCCCCAAATCAACAAGGACTAGATCTGACACCAGAAATGGGTCTTGAAAATCTATTTTGCCTTTGAACAAGATTTACAATCTTGCTCAAAATATAACTAGAGAAGAGTGTTAAACAGGGAATATGTCAGCACGCTCTTCAAGAACCTCTTGAGTGCGCTGTCACCTTTTTCATGCTACGTGACCTCCATAAACTGAAATCGCGAATACTGACTGTTATGGTTAACTAAAAATTATTTCTCTGGTCTTTTGGAGTTGCCAGCAGAAAGGGAGTGGGAGAAGTAATGCATACCTTAAATGTTTTCATAGATAATTGCTAGGCTGCCAAAGCTTCTGGCACACAAGATTATTACTGGAGAGCATGATTGATGACTCTTGGCAATGGATGTGTCCCATTGGAGAATATACATCCAGGGGGTGGGGGAAGACCAGGGTCAAGGGTGAGATGAATGATGTGTTTCAGAGTCGGCTGCACCCAGGTAACGCCGGCATGTTCACTCCTAGTAAATGTTTTCTTAAAACTCTGAGAGATGTGGCTAGAGACTTGTGGTTTGAATGGGGGTTGGATTGTCAGAGCCCTGACAATAACCTTAGTTTTCAAAATCTGGGCAAGGAAAGGTCATGTAGTAATTCCAGAGGTGCTTCAGTGCTGAAAAGACAAGTTCTAACCTGGATTCCCCTAGCATATGTTTTTTTCCCTTGTTTCTTATTTCATTGCTGCTCCTGATGTACAATTCTGCTTAGACTACTAGTCTAGACTAGTGGTTCCCAAAGTGGGTGGTACTGCCCCCTGGGGGGGGTGCCTTAGGGGGGCGCTAAGAGGCAAGGGGGCTGGCAGGAAGGTGCTTAGAGGTGGCACGGGGGCGTTCAAGGCACCAGCCCTGCAGGTTCACTCATTGACTGTAGCACCGCTCCAGAGCCGGCGTCTCCAATGCGGAAGCGGTGACACATTACATGCTGCCACGGCCGCGTTCGATGCTCCACTCCCCCTGCTGCCTCTTAGTCTCCCCAAGGGGGCCAGCAGAGGGGCGCTAAGAGGCGGCAGGGGGGCATTCGAGGCACCGGCCCTGCAGGTTCACTCATTGACTGTAGCACCGCTTTGGAGCCGGCGCCTCCAATGCGGAAGCGGTGGCAAGTTATGTGCCACTGCAGCAGCGTTCAATGCACCGTCCTTCTGCCACCTCTTAGTCTCCCCAAGGGGGCCAGCAGAGGAGCACTAAGAGGCATCAGGGGGGCGTTCAAGGCACCAGCCGGCCCTGCAGGTTCACCCATTGAGGCGCAGGCTCCGGAGCGGTGCTACAGTCAATGGGTGAAATTGCAGGGCCGGAGCCTCGAACGCTCCCCTGCCACCTCTTAGCATCCCCAAGGGGGCCAGAAGAAGGCTGCTAAGAGGCGGCAGGGAGGTGGCACATCGAACGCAGCCGTGGCGGCATGTAACGTGCCACCGTTTCCGCATTGGAGGAGCTGGCTCCGGAGCGGTGCTAGTCAATGGGTGAACCTGCAGGGCCGGCACCTCGAATGCCCCCCTGCCACCTCTTAGCATCCCCAAGGGGGCCAGCAGAAGGGTGCTAAGAGGCGGCAGGGGGGCGGCATGTTGAACGCGGCCATGGCGGCATGTAACGTGCCACCACTTCTACATTAGAGGCGCCGGCTCTGGAGCAGTGCTAGTCAATGGGTGAAACTGCAGGGCTGGCCGGCGCCTCGAACACCCCCCTGCCAGCCCCCTTGGGGATGCTAAGAGGCGGCAGAGGGGGCGTTCGAGGCGCCAGCCCTGCAGGTTCACCCATTGACTGTAATAATGCTCCAGAACTGGTACCTCGAATGCGGTAGCACATTGGGAAAAGCCTCTGCCACCGCTTTCCCAAAGTGCTGCCGCTGTTGTATTCTTTCTGTCTGTCTGTCTGTCCATCCATCTATCCATCCAAAAGGTCTGTCTGTTTGCCTGCCTGCCTGCCTGCCTGCCTGCCTGCCTGTCTGTCTCTGTCTCTCTCTTTCTATCGATCCATCGATCCATCCATCCATGTTCGAAGCGCAGGCCCCGCAGGCACATTGGGAAAGTAGAACAAAGCCAGTCTGAGAGGGAGGGAGGGAGGGAGGGAGAGAGAGAGCGAGAGCGAGAGAGAGAGACCTGATGCATCAAATTGAATGAGGCCTAATTTAGACTGAGGCCCTTTTCCACACTGAAACATCTTTGACTTCTTGTAAAGGTTTTGTGGACGAAACATGGTCAAGACTATCAGGAAGCTCTCACGTTTTGTTGAGCTTTAAACAGGATCCATTGGACCAGATCTCCACCCTAAAAATTACTTTTCCCCAATGTATTACAGTGCCAATTCTGAAGAAGGCAAAACCAAAATGTATTGGTAAATTACAAGGAGAACACACACTCCCTTCTAACCCTGCTGGAGCAGGCGATTGGACTAGAATAGATATCTCATTATCTTTCTCCTCCCTCCCTCCCTCCTTTATTTCATTTTCTTTCTGTCCCTTCCTTCCATCCCCCCTTTTTCTTTGTCCCTTTTTCTTTCTTTCTCTTTTCTCTTTATTTTCTTCCTCTCTTTCTCTCTTCCTTTTCTTTCCCTCTCTCAGGCTCATCCCTTTGGATCAGGGGTCGCCAAACTTTTGGACCTCAGGGACCACAAAACTCATAATTTTAAATCTGAGACCACTAATATGAATTTTGACTCATGGTGGCTTTCTGGCATTGGTGGGAGAGAGAGAGAGAGATCTGATCCAACCTCTCCCTCTCTCTCACACACACAGGCACGGGTGGGATTTAGACCCCTGATCTAAAGCTCTCCAAACTCCAAAAACTGGTCAAGTAGCTCTGGGGAGGCCAGTCATAAATTAGAACACTTGCTAAACAACCGATCATTAAGTGAGGACCACTTGTATTTGGTTTGCCAGTCACGTGGCCATGCCCACCAGTCACACGACCAGCAAACCACACCCACCCAGTCATGTGACCAGCAAACCACACCCTCAAATTAGGCCACACCCACAGAAATTTGAATCCCACCCCTGGGTGGGGGGCATCGAGGAAGAGTTTGTAGCACCAAGGGGGCAGTGGGCCGAAAAAGTTTGGGAACCACTGGTCTAGACTTAATGCCAGAAGCCATGGTTGTGGTAGCTGTTGTGAAGTCCAGACATTCTAGTGCTTTAGGAATTTAGAATAAAAACATAGGGAAATTGAACCAAGCAAATCTAGCTTTGAGGGGAAAGATTTTCAAGCTCTGTCTTGTATGTACTGAAAAACGTCCTCTGGCTTTTCACTTTTCTAGTTTTAAAGTAATTTAAAGAATTTGCGGGGAGGGAGTGATTCAACACTACATCAGATGTAGAGCAAAGGGTAAAGGGACTTTTCTGTCAGTAGAACTTGTTTTAGGCGAAATTAATTATTTTGGATGTGATTTCAATCTAAGAAAAAGAATTATTTTATTCTAGCCTGATGTTTCAGTCTTAATAAAATGTTAATTTTGATGTATACCAGTTTCTTGGGTTTAGATATAAAGAATATCTAGAGAATAGATATAAAATAGAAATAAAGAATTTAGCGAAGGATGCTTGGACAGTATCTTGTAAGCCATTGAACAAGAGAGATCCAAAGATATGTAAAATTATACAAGAAATTGTGCAATATTGTTTGCCAATAAAAATATTGTTCTCCATTACAATTAGTGTCTGATATAAAGGTCTTACATCCTTAACAGTATATTTTGGAGTAAGATTTGGTTAAAGACTGTGGAGCAATGCTGCTGGATCTTAGTAAAATATTGTGAAGTATTGAATTATTTATTTGAATACCTTTCTTCTCATTCCTTTTTACAACCCTGTAATCCCTTTTATCGAGGTGGAATTGGGGCGACTGAGTGGTGCTAAGCATTGAACACCTTTCTTTTAACACATTTAAATTTTATTTAGGATTCTAGGCCTCGCTTATTCCTAATTGGCTGCATAGGAGTCAGTGGAAAAACCAAATGGGATGTTCTTGATGGTGTTGTTAGAAGACTATTTAAGGTAAATAATGTTATTTTTGACATATTTTTCTAACAGTGCCATATTTTGAAAGCTATGTCAGTGTTTTCCATATATAATTTATTTGATTGAGAGCTGAAAAAAAACTGTCAGATTCTTTGTTGGTAAGTATGATTAATTGTACAAGATTTTGAGAACTGTAGCTTATCTCAAAGTTTATCTAAGAACTAGTTTACTATACCTGAGATGACGATATTGAAAACCAATTTTTCAACGTCAGCAAAGATCATCGAGCAGAACAACCAAGATAGCTGCAGGACCAAAATCTGGTTTAAACTCTGACAGAACTGGTTCTAGAACAGGGGTGGGCAACTATGGCTCTTTTATGAATTATGGACTTCAACTCCCAGAATTCCTGAGCAAGCCATGCTAGTTCAGGAATTTGGGGAGTTGAAGTCCACAAGTCATAAAGGGGCCATAGTTGCCCACCTCTGTTCTAGAACAATGTGCTTCATTCTTCCAAAATTTGCCATTGCCTTCTTCCACATTTGGAGCTTGAGTAGGTTTGACAATCAAGTCTAGCCTGAGACCTTGGGTTCTACTTTTACCTAGACAATTTTTGCAGTGCTATCTATGCCTAGGTACAATTAAACTACAAAATTTGCAGTTGGTCTAGATCAGGAGTGTCAAATTCTTGGCCCACAGGTCGAATGCATCACATGCTAGCCATCCCTAATTTAATGAAGGGGGGGAAAGTCGTGATATGTCACATGACAACAACGTGACACCACAAGTTTGACACCTCTGGTCTAGATTATGTTGATAAAGCTGTAAACAAATTGGAACATATCACTACTTTTGGTAACAATGCCTAATTAGGCTTCTTGGTTGAAAGTTTTTGAAGAAATTGGGCTATCACTAATCATTCTGAATGCTATCATTGACTGATTGTCCACAAGGTCCATTTTTGCTATAATGCCTGTCTCATATAGCCATAGAATTTAAGTCAATCAAAAACCCCAGGGATTAATTAAACCCATCCCATGAATAATATATTCTCCATAAAGATATACTTCCTTAGTTGTAAATTTGAAATTTCTTCCTAATGCACATATACACTTCTGCATTCTGTAATCTCACTCCTAATTTCAGCAAACAAAACAACATTGTTTTTGTTTATGGCAATCTGTTAGCTTAAATGTGTAACAACCACTTTTTAATCAATGTTCACTGTGCACAATTGCATTTGACAATATGGCTGAATAGAAAATTACTCATCAACCTTTGCTTCCCTACTTACTTGGACAAACAGGCCATCAAATCAGGTGAATATCCAGAGATTACCATTCTCAGGATTCAAAACAATTAAACCAGCCATTCTAAACAGGGAATATTATACACATTTCTATACAAAGTCCTAGTGACAGAGAAATCTTTGTCACGATGACAATAGCTTCTGCTTTTTAGGATCAACCATCAACAGTAAAAGAACAAACTGTCAAGAAATATCCCACAAACTAGCACTTCGTAGAACAGTAATGAAGACCTTGGAAAAGATCTTCAAATGCCATGATGTGTTTATATTTACAAAGATCACAATTAAACCATGGTATATCCTGTGGAAATGAAAATTGTACTTCAAAGAAGCAGGATAGAAATAAACATAGGTATTGGGAAAGGTAGGTATCCTGAGAATATCATGGATAGTCAAGAAGACAAACTCATTCAACAGATCAGTCCAGAACCGTCATTTGAGGCACAAATGACTAGGCTCAAATTATCCTACTTCAGACACATTATGAGAAGAACCGGCTCTCTGGAAAAGACATTAATGCTGGGAAAGATGGAAGGAAAGAGAGGAAGAGGATGACTAGGAGCAAGGTGAATGGATTCAGTTACAGTGGTGATGAGTGTACCATTGGGAGATATAAAAGAACATGTTAGATCCCTATATATGTGGTTGCTATAAATCAGAATGACTTGATGGCATTTAATCATTTCCTAAATATTTGCTAAAAAGCATTTCTTTATCATGGGAATTGCACTTGATTGTGAAGTTTTGTTCTTAAAACCCAAACCCCATCGGTATATTAATTTTCTCTTTTGCTCCCTCTTCCTAGGAATACATCATTCATGTTGATCCTATGAGTCAACTTGGGTTGAATTCAGACAGTGTCCTGGGGTACAGCATTGGAGAAATTGTTCGCACAAATAGCACAGAAACACCTGAGCTGCTACCCTGTGGCTATCTGGTTGGTGAAAACAATACCATCTCTGTGAAAATCAAAGGTAAATTGTAGCTGATTTATTTGTTACAACTCTTTGTAATTGTAGGTTTTACAGATGTTAGCTTTGAAGAAATCTCAGGGTCATAAGAAGATTTAATTAGCTTTCTTTCTGTCTTTGTTTCTTGACTAAATGTTGCTTCCCTTTCAGTTGTATACCACTATTAGTAAGAAATGTCACATACAACCACATTCCTATGAACCTTTCATGTCCCTATTTGTGTAGTTCTACAGGTGGGCATCATTAGTCATAGTTCCATTGCCCAGGTTTTGTATATACATGACTGGCAAATAAAGACTAGACCTTGTTATTCACAGCATAGTTTCATGCACAGAGTGTCCTCACTTTATGATGGCAATTGGGTGTGGAATTGCCATTGTTAAGTGATATCATATAAAGCACGAGATCGTGTGGCCAAATCAATTAGAAACAGCAATCCAGGCAGTCCCTATTGCCATTGTAATGCTAAGGTCATGGATTTTTAAGTGGGAAGTGCTGGGGAGTCCCATGTAAGTAGCACGAGGTTACCGCAGGAGAGTAGGGATGGGGCTGAGAAGGATGCACAGACTGCACATGAATTGAAGGCGGATATACTGTAGTGTGGCGCAAGTGCAGGGAGCTCCTGGGTTGGGAGGAGGAAGAGCATGCGTTGGTTCAAGTCTGGGGTGGAATTTATCAAAGCAACTTCCAAGCTTCCATACTAGATTCCCCATTGACTTCGTTTGTGGGATACCAGCAGGAAAGTTTGCAAATTGAGAAACTGCTATCATCATACTTGCAAGAGTGAACTTGGCAGCATTGCAATGGTAGGTAAACAAGGACTACCAATCTTCACAGTTTGGGGAAGATGGGTTTGTTTGGAAGGAGCTTTCTGCAGTGTTCTTAGGTACTTTGTGCATGAGTTTTTCTCAAGGTCTCATTATCCACAGTTTTGTTATCTGTGGTTATAAAGCCACAAATAACAAGAACCACCTGTGTAAATAAAGTGGATATTTCACAAAATGTTTCCACTTATTAAAAAGAAAGGATCTGTCCTTTTTATGTAGTGTTTTGTTGACCTGTATCATTTGTTTATCATTGAAATATTCTTTTATTTCAAGAGAAGTAAACAAATGCAATAGAGCTTAGGACCCACATTTGCAATCCAACAAAACCTAACTTAATGGCATTTGAAGCTTAAGATCAAGAACTGGGATTATATTATATATGCACAGATTAGGATAGAGAGTGAATATATGACAGAACTTTGAATGTTCATCTGTGAAAGGAAGATATTTTTCCTTTCTTCAGCCCTCGCCTGCCCTAAACTGGAAAGTGCTACAGAAAGCTTTGTAATACAGTTTTGCATTGTTACAGGTGAAAATTTGGTTATTACACATGAGAATATAAAGAGCCAAACTGAAGCCATTTTATGTTCGCAGTCTGAACTTTTGAAGCTCAGAACATTTATGTAATGTGTTTTCTGCTAGAAATTATACAAAATTGCAAAACTATGTACTTGGCAAAAGTTAGAAGTATGTGCTGGGGCACTCTGACATTAGACGTCACATTAAGAGTTATTAATGGTTTTCTTATAATCTTCTGGAATTGGAATAACAGGAAATCTGACTATAATGAGAATGTTGGGAGTTTTCTATGAAAGGTTGGAACTTTCTTATGAAAACGTTGTATAATGTCCATATATGGGAAACAGGAAGTGTTATGTAACCATGTGATTTGATAAACCTATATAAGCTGTATTCACTAATTGGATATGTCTCCTTTTCTCCTAAACGTGGTTTTGGAGTAGAGGGGTCCATACTGCAGTATTTTCCCTAAGAAAGCATCCTGTGGATCAGATTATCAAAAGTCTGTTGATTCATTTTTATGTACTTCTCACAGCATTTACATGGTAACAGAATAACAGAAGGACTTCTAGACCAACATCCTACTCAAGCAGGAAACTCAGACAAATGGTTGTCCAATCTCTTAAAAACTTGCAGTGTTGGAGCACCCACAACTTCTGAAGGCAACTTGTTCCACTGATTAATTGTTCTAATAGCTCGGTGTAGGATAAGAGTGGAGATTCATTCTCCGAGCTTGGGGTTGTTACCAGGCTAGGTAACATCTACAGTGGAATTTAGGGAATGTCAGTGTTGGTGTTCTTTTGCTTTTAAGGGCTTCAAGTGGTCAGTAGGTCCTGTGATGGGAGGGTCATGTTCAGGTGAGGGTCTTGTGATGGATCTTGTGAGGGGTCAGGTATGGATCACGTCTGCTGGAGGAGTCAGATTAAAAACTGTGGAAAGCTTGACTTCGACAACAGAAATGTACTACTCATTTCATTAGTCAGAACTAGAATTTTTAAATTTTATTTTCCTTTTGAAAAACCATGTATGCAGTGGTAGGATGCTGCCAGTGTAACAACCAGTTCGCTAATCACGCCCTTTGTGTGTGCACACACGCCTTTCAAAATTACTTACCTTTGACGTTACTTTGGGGAAGTAACCTGATTTGGAAGTAACCTGGTTTGGAAACAGCTGATCATTGGAGCTAGGGTTCACCCAAACCGGTCTGAACCAGGAGAATCCCACCCCTGCATGTATGGCATGTTTTTAATTCACTAGCTTACATGATGATAGATTTTTGAAGTTCTTAATTATAAAATGTTGATAACTGATTAGGATCTATTCCACTGAACTCTATTGTACTGCATAATCCTCCTCATTCTATTTAATAAAAATTGAAAATTAAAGAGCTTGAGAATGGCAAAGTTCAAAGATATTATATATGAAATAGTACCATTTCTCCCCTGTGCAAGTGACATAATAAAAGCAAGAAAAAGGTTTAAATTGTGTTTTTTCTAATATTACAGGTATTGTAGAGAATAGTTTGGATGGTCTGGTGTTTGAGTCTCTAATCCCAAAGCCAATTCTACAACGTTACGTGTCACTCTTGATAGAACATCGGAGAATCATTTTATCTGGTCCAAGCGGCACTGGAAAGACATACTTAGCCAATCGCCTGTCTGAATATATGGTGCTTAGAGAGGGCAGGGAGCTGGCTGATGGTGCTATTGCAACCTTTAATGTGGATCACAAATCCAGTAAGGTGAGTATTACAGATACTCAATTGGGGAAAATATTGTTTCTGGATCCTATCTGTGTTGAACATAGGAACCAGAGTTTTACTCTTCTGAGCTTTTGGACTCATGCTAGACCATGGGCATGAAAGCTTGGAAGACTAAAACTCTGGTCCTGTTGACTGACCCAGGTGGGATCCAGAAACACTATCTTGGGACACTTGAATTTGCCTTTGTTTGTGAATATTGTTTCTGTTCACAAATAATTTATCTTCCAGAGCAAACATTTCATAAGACATGTGTTCTTATACCTTACCAAGATTGGAGATATACTGTATTAGGCACTTTGCTTGAATAGTAGATTTGATATGATTTATGATATGCCTTAGAGACTGAGAAGAGGGATCCTTCTACATAATGAGAAGTGGTATTTGGTTACTAATTAATGCCTTTTTGGATTTCCTCTTCTGTCTCCTGTAATGATAATTTGTACTAATACTCTACAAAATCCACCTATACAATGGCATTCCTGGAAGTGAAGTGTCTTAACTGGTGTCTTAATCCTTTAGGAATTCCCAGCCTGTTAGTGCTACTTCTTTTCTGTCTTCTTCATTATCTGGGCATATAATGCCAGATTTTCATAATTACTACTTTTCATAGGCTCTGTTCTACTCCTACTTTAGATACTACCTCCTATTCAGATATGAGATCAAGGTAGACCTCGCAACATATAGAGAAGCAATTACATGCTTTGAGAATCACTATTTTGAGGATTAAGCAAAAGTACATAGTTATCTCAGGCAAGATAACCAGCTTGCCTGAATAATTCATCTGCAGAGTTTATTCAAAGTAAGTTTTTTAAAGAACTAAGTTGCGGCGTGGTTACTGCTGTATTTTTCCAAGGAACTTTTTAGAATTGAACCAAACAGTCTTCATAACACCTCCCAAGATCTCCAAATCATAACTGCAAGCCAGGTGTTTTTCCCCACTACTACATTGGTTTTTCTTTTTATAGGAACTCCGGCAATACCTCTCCAACCTTGCAGACCAATGCAGCAGTGAAAATAATGCCGTGGAGATGCCTCTTGTAATCATCTTGGACAATTTACATCATGTCAGCTCTCTAGGAGAAATCTTTAATGGGCTTTTGAACTGCAAGTACCACAAATGGTAACCGTCATTGTTTTACCTTTTCATGGTGGAAAGTCTGTTTTTCTACCAACAAACATATTCTGTGAATGTTCATTTAACTGATTTCGGTGCCCACAAACAGAATATCGTTTCTTTAAATAAAACTTAGTTAAATATTATTGCTTTTGGTTCAACTCAGAAGTAAGCATTTCTCTTAAGTGAGCATGCATTTCTATCTGAATATCTAAATCAGTTAAAACAAATACTATTATAAATCCTGCAACCAAAGGTTTAACTCAAGATTCATTCAAATTAGTACATGAATTGTTTAATAGCAATATAGTTTGTGTGTGTTGCTAAAACTCATACGTTTTTGTTTAAAGAAATGTTAATTATTAGTTAGTTAATGTTTAAAAATTAACAACATAAAATAAATCAACTCCCTTTCAGATTATTATTACAGATCACAAGAAATTCTAAAGAGAAATTATATTTTCATGAATATATCCTGAGATTTGATTTAAAGCTGAAATTAAATGCTACATTCTATAACCGATAGACATAAAGGACATGACCACCCAGCAAACAGAAATTTTAAAAAACCATCTAGAGCAGATTCCTGGCTTTTCATTTTATCTGGGTCTACAAAACTAGGAGATCCCTAAAACAAATATTCCCATGCTTTGATTATAGAAATTTCTCGAGCTTTTTAAAGATTCAATATTAACAGAAGCTTTGAGAGAGATGGAAAATACTAGTCTTTACCAGCCTTTTTCTGCAGAGTTCTGCCAATGTCTGTCTTTTCTTTTTAAAAAGCTAGCCTTTTTTATTTATAGTGCAGAATGGCTGGAGTAATTTGAAAATATATAAGATAGTTGGTTGTCTATCCCCTGCTCTATACCCTTCACGAAGTACTGTACCTTTCAGGTAGATTCTGAATTCTACCATGAGCAGAATTCAGGACATCCAAAGGGCAGTAGGTTAGGGAAGTATAGTAAATGACCAGGCTGAGTCCAAGGGTCAAACATGTCACCAGTCTCAAGTCCCTTCATGCCTTCAAGAGATCTAAGTCCAGCGCACTTTGAATTCCACTGATTCTTTATCTACTGTCAATTTGCTTTGACAGTTAGTAGTTCAGATTCTTGTAGAAAGTGTTAGCAAGCAATAAACCTGAACTCATTTGAACTGACTTGACTCCTGATTTCCTGCACTTAACAAGAAAATTGCTTCATGCTTTCAGTTCTCAGTTTTTTGGGACCACTTTCCTTTCCAGAAATCCCCCTCTTTTAAATCTGTATGTTTTATTTTTTCTCTCACTATTTTTAAAATGTTTTTCAAACATTTAACTGCCCCTCTCCCTGAAAAGTAAATGAAATATTCTAAAGCATTTCAGAAATTCAGCTAGTATGGAGGAGCATCACAATAACTCTGGGGTAGAATCTATTCACATGTTATGAGTAGGAAGCAAAAAAGCACATGAGATGACAATGTAAATTTTTAAAAAGTTTTTCTAAAAGTAAATGCTGGCTAACTTTTTTCCCTACAGCCCTTACATCATTGGAACAATGAACCAAGCAACTTCCTCAACACCTAACCTTCAGCTGCACCACAACTTTAGATGGGTACTATGTGCCAATCACACTGAGCCAGTCAAGGGCTTTCTTGCCCGATTCTTGAGAAGAAAACTCATTGAAACAGAAATTGGAGGTCGGATGAGAAATGGAGAATTAATTAAGATTGTAGACTGGATTCCCAAGGTTTGGCAACATCTCAACAAGTTCTTGGAAGCTCACAGTTCTTCAGATGTTACTATCGGTGAGAAATTAAAGAAAATAAAGAAAAATTAAATTTTCCTTATATGCCTTTTTATTTCTCTTGTTCATTGTATAATGTTATGGTTAAAATAAATGCATTGGTTCCTCCTTACTGAAAATAATCAATTTTACATTTTTCTTCATTTTCACAGGTCCACGCCTGTTTCTCTCTTGCCCCCTAGATGTGGATGGGTCAAGGGTTTGGTTTACTGACCTATGGAACTACTCCATTGTTCCCTATCTTCTTGAAGCTGTCAGAGAAGGGCTACAGGTAAGCATAGTTTACAAAGCTAGAGCTATAAATATGACAAATACAACTCAGGTGCATAAACGCAGGGTGTTAGTGGTCAGATAGGACCTTGCAAAATCCTGAAATTCCTGGATAACAGGCATGGGACCTCACTTTATTTTGTGCCCTTTCTGAAACAGCCACAAAAGTCCCAAGAGGCAACAAAGCCAACATTTTTGGATCTACTTTTTCCCATGTTTTGTTTAGCGTTAAGGGGAAAATTTTATTTCTGATGCTTAAGGCACTGATTTCTCCTTTTAAACTTGGCAAAATGGTAAGAATCACCCCAATTTTTGTTTTTTTAAAGGATTGCTATCATCTCCCTTTCTTCTCCCAAATGGAATTGAAAATATCAGTCCTGTTTAACTTCTCTGAGACTCAAATCAATCTATCTATCTATCTATCTATCTATCTATCTATCTATCTATCTATC